TGGATCAGATCCTAATATAGGGTTTCAAATAGTATTTGCCCTATATTAATAGGTTGCCTAGATATCTGCCTTTTTAAATTAGATATCTGATATATAGGATAAAACCGATATTTATCTTTTTTAGGATTCACTATCCTAGTATTTAGACTCGATTTAGTCAGATAACCTAGGGCTTTCTTATCTAGGTGCCCTAGCCTAAAATGCTATAAAAAAGGCGATATTTAAGAAATTTTAGGCTTTTCTGACTGAGCAGCTATAGTCTTTTTTATTGAGTTAGGGCTAGGTAATCTAGGCCCTATATTTATTCTAGATAGAATATCTACTCTAGAATTTTAAGATTTATTAATTTAAGGAGTCTCGGGGCTCTCAGAAGTCCTAGAAATCTCGGGATCTCTAGGAAAATTGAATCTAGGCAATTTATACCTAGATATATCAGGTCTAGGGGGATTTTCCCTAGGTAAATCGCTGCTTTTAGGAGTCTCTGGGTCTCTAGAAAAATCAGGGATAGGTAATTTATATCTAGCTATATTAGATCTAGGGGAATTTTTTCTAGATAAATCAAATATCTAAATAGGCTTAGAATTACTAGAATCGGTAGAGCTCCTAGCTATATATAATTCAGTCGATAAAATAGGGCTTTCAGAATTATATAACTAATTAGATAAGATCTATTTAATTAATAATATATCTTTTTTATTATTAATTTAATATATTGGTCTACTATCTAGGGTTTCAATTCTTAAAGTCCTAGTATTGTAGAAAAGGCTAATTTTTCTACTCTTTAAGGCAGATATTATATTTAAATAGAAATTGGGTATAAAGACACAGTTTAGAAGCTTGAAATCAGTTATTCTTTCTAGGGAAATAGTAGGCTCTATATAAATAGTTCTATATCCTAGAATTTCAGTATAGGTGTTCCCTATATAGATTTTAGTAGATTTCGGCCTAAAATCTATAAATTTCTAAAAATTGTTGTAGATATAGGTATCTGAAGCTGTATTATAGACCTATAGATTCTTAGGGTTTAACCCTAGAGATCTAGATAGTAGGGTAATTTATTTAGCTGAGGTAGCTAGGGCTACTGAGTTATTCTGTCCTGAATCAGCTTTTCTGAATTTTTTAATAGCTGAATCGTAGGCTTTTTTAAATCTAGGATTCTGACAAGCTGATTTAAATCGATTTAAGATATCTGGGTTAGATAACTAGTCACTAGTCCTTACTGAGTTATTGATATAGAGGTATTTATTGAATCGATAATATTCTCTATTTAGATCAGATAGGCAGGGGCAGCAGGGATTTCTAGAACTAGAATTTCTAAAATCTTACTTTTACTCTGTATAATTATTCTGATTGGTAGAATCGATAGGGCTGGAATCAGATTCGCTCTGTAGGGTTACTGCGGCTATTTTAGATCTAGGATCCCTAGGCTGATTTGATTAATTCAGTCTAGTATAGTCCCTAAAGTACTTAGTTATCTTGAAGAAAGGCGGTATAGGTTTATTATTTTTAGATTTTTCAAGTAATTTGTCTTGCTATAGGGCTAAAAATATAGATAAAGTAATAGAAATCGATTCTAGAAAATTGAATAAGGGCCGAACAGAGCTTTGAACCTCTGGGATATCTAGTCCTAGGGCTTCGGTATATAGATTTTTCTATACTGAAATATAAGATTCTATAGAATCTGAATTAGGTGGAGTCCTAAGCTTAGTATATCTTCTAATTAGATCTTGTTTTCTAGATTTATTAGTAGGAGCTAGCTTAGCAGATAGAATCCTCAGAATCTGATAGGGTGATTCAGCCAATAAAGTTATCTATCTATTATTATAGGATATTGAATTGGTGATTATTAATAATAGGGTTAAAATCCCGGTTAAAATAAGCTAATATTTCTTTGCTCTAGTTTTATAATCCCTAATAGAATCTCTATAGAGCTCTCGATTCAATAGCTCTAAGTCGATTAGGGTATTAGCTCTAGACTGAATATTACTAGAGCTAGGCCTAGTAGGGCGGTAAGGTAGGGCAGATATCCTAGGTAAAATAGGGTCTATATAGTCCTAGACCCCTTTGGCTTCAGCTACTAGTCTGATATAATGACTCTATTGAAGCCAGTCACTAGGCTGACTAAGCTGAATAGGTATCTTCAATTCAGATGATATAATAAGGTTTTTATTTCTATATATAGATATATATAGAAATAATTAATCGATATAAATAGTCGATATAGAAAATTGATATAGATAATTAAATTAATTATTAAATTAAGGTTTGATAGAGCTATATCGGGCTTATAACTGTCAGCTTCCCTAATTCTAAAGCGGAATAGTCTTAGAGATCAGCTTCAGAGGATATAAAAATAGAATAATAATATAGATTGAATAACTAGATAAGATAGACTTGAAGAGATTAAATAAATAAATAGGAAATCTGACTATCTAATAATCAGATAGTTGGTTGATAATCTGTTTTAATTAAAAAGATTATTTAGTAGATACTTTTAGGCCTTATTTATAGACAATTTTTAGGTCTTGCTTTTGGTGAATAATTTCAAATCAATATAGAATTAGTGAATTTGTTATTATAACTAATTCTGACTAATTCTTGATTTCTAATAATTTATAATAAATTATTAGAAATTATTTAAAGTTATGAATCATAGATTCCTTCTAGACCTTGATTGAAAATAAGGTTTTAATCTAGTCTAAAATAGGTAATACTATAGAAGCTTTCTAGAATATTTCCTAAATAGGAAATATTCTTTCAATTTCATTCAGTATTACCTAATAAGGAAATATTCTAGAGCAAATCTAGAATATTTCCTAAATAGGAAATTTCATTCCGACAGTAACTAATAGTAACTTTATATAGAGTCTTAGTTAAATTACTTATTAAATAGAAAACAGATAAAAACAGATAAAAGTAGATAAAAATCGATAAAAAACTGATAATATACCTCTCTAGGACTACTAAATATTGTGTCTAAAAGTCCCGAGAGTATTCTAGAGGAAGTTGTCTTGTTCATCGATCTATCTAAGCAGCCGATAAGCGGCCGCCATACCGCCTTTCCTACCGCTTTAGGCAGAATACATGAAAGCCACAACAAGGAGTCACCTAACCCGCTCGACCAAAAGGCTCACAATTGAATCCTGAACAAGGATTCAATCGGTTAGGTGATATATATATAGGGTGGTTACTACCCAGAACCACAATAGGTAAGATAGAATTTATAGCTATTAAAAAGTAGTATTTAAATCTCTTTTTTAGAGATACAGTACTTTGTATAGCAGTAGAAATATTGAATCTAGTCAAGACTAATCTTGATTCTTATCTGAAATATAGCCTTTACGAGATAGAGCTATTTAATATTTATTAGAAATATCTATATTGTACTATTTCTCCAGATAATATATATCTTTGAATATAAAGTATAGAGGAAAAATAAAACTATCTACTAATATATACTCTATTGTAGAGATTAGCTTATCTATTTCTTTAGATAAATATTCTCTAGTAGCTTATAAAGATATAGTAGTTATAATTTTTTTAAGTCTTTCCTTGTCTTAGTTAGAATCCGGTCTTATCAAAGTTATATATATTTTTAGAAGAAATCTACTTAATAAAAAGCTCTAAGTAGTTGTACCAGTATTGAAGAATATCTATATTCTCTGTATCTAGATAATTCTTGTCTTTTAATCTCTATTGAAGAAGCTTAAACTTCTCCGAAAGATATTTAATAAAGTAATAAACCCAGTTCTTATTAACTATACAAGATAGCCTGTCAATAGTATTTTATTATAGTATTTGATTGGTACTCTACTCAATTATTCCAGCTGTAGAAGGATAGTATAGATTATTTAACTAACAAATCTAATAGATTAGTACCTTTTCTTATAAGTTATCAAGAGTCTTGATTGAGATAGGATATATATTTCGAGTAGCTTGGCTATAAATACGTGCTCTGAGTCGATAATAAGGAACGTCAAATTGACACGCTAACGCAGAGATATTTGGTTTTTTTGGTCTTGAGCAGCTGTACAGGTCTCTAAGATTCGTTTCTCAATATCAGATTAAGAATCAGGCATGGTGGTGGTGATAAAATCTCTGAATAGCTTCAAATTTTGTGTTAAAGTGGGAATTTGCGTTGAGGTGAGGCAGACCAACACACCGAATGGCGGGTGGGTCTGCTGATGTAAGAGACGGCTATGACTTCCTTTCACCGTTTTGACATGTGGCATGTCATAAATTGATTGGCCAGGTGCTGGTTTGCAGAAGTTACTAAGTCTATATCCACGGGTCTTATTCATTATTCATCGGTCGTGGATAAACTGTTTGTCTTACTGCCACCACCGGACCAAGAATAAGACAGTAATCGGGATTACGCCCACACCTACTCGGCTGGCCCGTCCGGTTGATATAATGCTATGGGCTTTTGTATTGGGGGGTAACATATCATTTTTATAGAGAAAAGTGACCAATTAATCACACATGGCCGCACATGCGCAGAATATCGGGAAAAGGGAGGGTGTGAATGCAGGGTACCTAGAGTATGAGCAGTCGCAATAAAAGGAGCATTTTCAGAGGCACTAAGCGTGATGTCGGCAGTGACATGTTCAGATATAGATCAACTTAAAGGGGGAGAACGAGTAGCCCCGAGCACGAAGAACATCCAAAAAAAAAAAAGGGGGGACCTGAAATATAAACGGAGAATAATAACAGCACATGTCGAAGCCAGGACACAACTCATGCACAGCAAACTGCGCGAGTATGACTAATGGGAACCAGCCCAAGAAGAATACATTGCTGCAAGTCTCAAACAGGACTAGAAAGACACCAGTAAGAATAACTGTTTTAGTTAGGGAGTTTTAAGTCACCAGATATACTGGATTTCTGCAGTTGGCTTCCAACCCTCTTTCCTTCTAACTTGCACAGCAGTGAAGCATAAGCAACTTGAAACAGCATTTCGCACGTACCAATCCTCACCCTCGCTCTCAAAGAAAGATAAGAAAGGTAGGGGAAAAAATCCAGAAGAAAAGGTTTAGTGGGTAAGGCGAGGGTAGGGTAGCTTCGTGGCAACATCATAGAACACAAAACCATAGCGCCATGCTCTTTTTATGTGGCCATCACCGGGAAGAGCAACAAAAACCAGAAACAAACACGGATGATGATGATGATGATGAAGAAGAACAAACAGAAGAATAGGGGGGGAATAAGAAGAGAGGATGAGCCAAAGACCCATTATCGCCGGATTGGAACGCCACTACGAGCAGGGGGCGGACTCACGCTGGGTTCCTTTGCATCTTTAGGTGCAGTGGTATTACCCTCAGACTCATCTGCGCTAGTTCCGCGTTGTAGATAGCTCCCTTCTTTCACCGGGCTGCGGCTTTGAAAACCAATGGAGCCTGGGTGCCCACTGATGCTGCCAGGAATCTGCTGTCCTTGAGAGTTGGTACTGCCACCATTACTGGCAGCTGCTGGGTTATTCGCCCCAGGAGAGGTAGCCGTCAAATGAGGAATGTTTTCGGGAACGGGGTGCTGAGAACCAATATTGGTGACACCCACATCAGAGGCTTTGCCGGCCTTGCTCAGGGCGTAGTCACCTGAATCGAAGTACTTCCGCTCCTTTACCATGGAAAATCCGTCAGCCGAGGGGTGAGCAAATTCGAAGGGACGTCAAACCCACGTACCTTCAGTTTGTTCTGCAACAGATCCTTCTTGGTGGGCATCTTTCCGTAGAGACGCAATAGGCGTTGCTCTTCAGGGGATAAGGACTGTATTCGTAATGACAGTCAGTTTTTGGGACAAATGAGAGAGGGGCGACAGGTAGACGGCTCACAGCAGTATCGACTTTGTTCTGTTGGTGGGGATTCATATTGGAAGAGGGGAGATCAAGGGAAAGTTCTGCGAAAGTTTGTTTGACTCGAGGTGTAAACTCCCTGGAATGGACCTTTTCTAGTCTATGAAGATGATGTGTAGCGGGTGAAGTAGTAAGTGTGACTGAGAGCTAGCAGGTGGGGAGGTTGGATGAGGGTAAGGTGAGCGGGTGTCGTCAGAGAACCCCACCGAACTACGGGAGGAAATACGTAGCACGTTTTTGTTTATGAGCTCACGGGGAAATATAAATGATCAAAGTTCAGGGTGTATTGTAGAGGCAACTGGAAGGAGGCAGATTGCACGGTAAACAGTAAAGCGAGAACCTGAAGAATAGATCGAGTACTGAAGGTCAGTAAGAAGTAGTAGTAGTAGTAGTAGTAGTATTAGCAGTTAATGGGAGGACGGTTGGGCTAGTGGGATGCTGTATGGTATGGTATGGTAACCCAGTATTGTCCGTTTCCAAACTTGGCCGCGTTTTGCTCTTTGGGGCATCGTTGAGTGGAGACTATACTCAGTCCCTTTTGAAAGAAGGTGGCTCGGTTCTAGATAGGATATGGTATATACATACTTAATTTATGTCCACTGCTATATTCATTTGCCGTAGATCATGTCTTAAAGCGACTTTCCATAAAATTTCGGGGACGGAGGAGGGGGCCGCAGTTGACGTCTGGGTAAACTCAATAGAAAGAACATAACCATCTAACATTACCTTGCATTATGGAAGCTGTTCATTCACTATAGTAATTATGTCGACCTAACATTACATACAAACACAGTTATATTCTGTACATATTCTTGGGTGTACGAGTTATTGCAATATCTAACTCATTGCGAGAATGCATACTCATTCAATTGAATAATCTATCACCATACACCAGTGTTTGTGTGTCTTTTCTCCCTTGCCATCTCTCCCTCTCTTTTTCCTTTTTTTTTTTTTCTTTTTTTTCTTTTCCTTTCCTCTCTTCTTGTTCTTGTTCTCTCTCTCCCCTCTCTGTGTGCGTGTGTGTCTGTGTGTATGTCTCTCTGTCCCTCTTTCTAATCGTCTCCGTATCTATCTGTAAACCGCCTTTTTATGTTCTCTCCTAGTTTCTCGGTTGCTCCAACAGCGGCCACTTCGTCATTGATCCCGAATTCAGATCGGCCCACCATCTCGGCATAATATTATCCCCATTGCTCTGTGCTAGACTTTCTCATTTGGACATAGTCGTCTTTCAAATTGTATCACAATGACAGGCCAGAACCCCTCCAAAAACCCAGTCACTATTGTGGTTGAGCATTTGGACCCTGAATTGGGGACTTGGTCGGCCTTGGAATATGGCTGCATCGCTCGCGAATCGCATGCGGCTGGCAGCCAATTTCTCCTTAGCTCGGTGCCCACCTCCCTGCAGATGCCAGAAGATTTGGCCGCGACAGAAGGATTAAAAGTCGAGCACCGCAGCATTGAAGAGATTTTTGCGGATCGAAAGTCTAAGATCTGCCTGTTAGACCCCGCGGCTCAGGCTGAATTGAGCCCCGCCGATGGAGAAATTTTTGAAGTGTTCCTTTTCGGGGGTATCCTTGGTGCGGATTCTGGTTTTTCGTTAGGAGTTTCGACTCCGGCTAACTTCTAGGGGCCTTCGCGTCTGTAGGCGATGATCCTCCGCGAGGCAAGTTTTTATCGGATTTGACGGAAGAGAGACGTATACCACCACGCATGCCACTAACCAAGATTTACAGATCGCACTTCGGAATTGAGAAAGAAGGGTTATGCTGGAAGACGACTCGGTCCCAAACAGATGACGACTGATACAGCCGTGCGTGTTACCCGCATGGTTGTGCATGAGAAAGGTTCAATCACTGACGCGAGATCCCACATCTCCATAACTATTGGGCAAACTAACGATTCAACAGTGCCTTTAGAAAATATCCAGTATATCGATTACCCTGAGATTTTAATAAATGAGCATGAACGAACTGAGATGCCCTTCCGCTATGTGAGAGGGGATGATGGACAACCTATCATGCCTCAGGTGTGTGCCTTGTCATCTCACCAGTTGAAAGACCACTGCTGACAGATGCTCAGGGGATGGTTAATCTTATCAAAAAAGACGCGGACCAGGGCATCGATGATCTTTTCTGATCTGGGCTATAAGCGTCCACTACAAAGTGTACAAAGAAGGGGAGAGGGAAGGACCAGATGTGTGTGTGTGTGTGTGTGTGTGTGTGATGAACAAACATGGAGACTGAGATTTGAGCAAGTTTTCCTATTCACCTTCATCGCCTTGCACTGCTACACATTTTTAACGACACTTGAACATAAAATAAGAAACAGTTAGACAAATTTGCTCTTTAACCAAGTTTGTCCTGTCTGTAGTATATACTGGCAGTGTTCAGTATATCGAGGGACGAAAAACACTGTCCTAAATCGACAAGAATAACGACTATTGATAGTTTTTTAAAAACGAATGGCGAACAGAAAGACTTAAAAGATGTTCATCGTTGCCCTATAGATCCCCTAAACAGGCAATGATAGGAGTTCCGCAGTTGTTCCGATTGGTACGGTATTGAAAATTAACAAGGAAAAACGGATACTCGCTCGAGCGGCAGATCTTGGCGGCCCATTCGAAAGCGGTCTGGAATTACTGCAGTACGTAGTACGATAATTGCTGCCGAAACGACTCCATTCAAGGCCACTCCGTCGTCTCCGTCTTTTCTTGACATTTTTATTTGGTGCGATTGACGGGCTTGCGGGTAGCGTGGCAGCAAAGGAGCTTCAATTTCTCTTCTCCTACCTCCTCTCCGATTCGTTAATCCTTCGCTAAATCGTCCCGCTGTAACGTCTACTTACATCTCGATCTTTGGGAGCAGCAGAAGGACCATCCATGCGGACTTGGGCGCTGCTCTTGTCCTCGTAGGACCTTTGACCCTAAACATTACTAACAACAACCCCTACTTTCGTTGTTGTTCTACCACCTACATCGGCCCTCGTTGTTTCCTGAGGCATGTTTTCTGCAATCTGGCGTGGGTTCCCCAGAAGTAAAACGGGCGATACCTTCTCCTTTTCCTTCAAGCCATCATGGCTTCTGTCATTGCTCGTCTTATGGGGCCCACAATTGACTTCGGCCAAGTCAGCTGCGGATTACTATGTTCGCTCGTTGCCAGGCGCCCCTGATGGACCCTTACTGAAGATGCATGCTGGGTGAGTTCGCCAATACCACCGGATCTCGTTGATACATCGTCCCCCCCCCCAACCACACAGGACTCCATTGCAGAGGTTTTGACCGCGGCTTTCTGAAACAGGCATATTGAGGTGGACCCGCAGAACAATGGTAATCTCTTCTTTTGGCATTACCAGAATCGCCATATTGCCAACCGTCAGCGGACTGTAATCTGGCTAAACGGTGGCCCGGGCTGTAGCTCAATGGATGGTGCATTGATGGAGGTTGGCCCATATCGATTGAAGGACAACCTTACGTTGGAGTACAACGAAGGTTCTTGGGATGAATTTGCCAATCTACTTTTTGTGGATCAGCCGGTTGGAACCGGCTTCAGCTACGTTAATACCGACAGTTATCTTCATGAATTGGACGAGATGTCCGCGCATTTCATTATATTCTTGGACAAGTTCTTTGAGCTTTTCCCGGAATATGAAAGTGATGACGTATGAAATTCCCCGGGTTGCCATTCTATCTCCTAGCCATAACATTCTGACTCTAGCAGATTTATCTTGCGGGCGAGTCCTACGCCGGTCAGCATATACCATATATTGCCAAGGCTATTTTAGATCGGAACAAGAACGCAGTGAGCCCTTGGAACCTGCGTGGTCTTTTAATAGGCAACGGTTGGATCTCTCCTGCGGATCAGTATCCCTCCTACTTGACTTTCGCATACGAAGAAGGCCTCATCAAAGAAGACAGTCGGACCGCGAAGAGCCTAGAAGTGTTACAGTCGGTCTGTCAATCGAAGTTGGAGACAGGTGGAAAAGATAAAATACATATCGGTGACTGTGAAACAGTGTTGCAGGAGCTTCTGTCGAAGACTCTAGACTCTGACAACAAATGCTACAACATGTATGATATCCGCCTCCGCGATACAGCTCCGTCTTGTGGCATGAACTGGCCCCAGGATCTAAAGGATGTGAAGCCGTATTTACGCCGGGCGGACGTTGTTAAAGCTCTGAATATAAACCCTGAAAAGAAGTCAGGGTGGGAGGAATGCTCAGGGGCTGTCAGCAGTTCTTTTCTTCCGCAAAAGTCAGTGCCAGCTGTTCAATTACTTCCCAGTCTACTCGAATCGGGGATTTCAGTTCTTCTATTTAGCGGTGATAAAGACCTCATTTGCAACCACGTCGGAACCGAGCAGCTTATAAACAATATGAAATGGGGTGGTGGAGTCGGCTTCGAGACATCACCGGGTGTCTGGGCTCCCCGGCATGATTGGACTTTTGAGGGTGAACCAGCGGGTATTTATCAACACGCGAGAAATTTGACCTATGTTCTCCTTTACAACTCTAGCCACATGGCGCCTTACGATCTCCCTCGCCAGACTCGAGACATGCTTGATCGCTTCATGAAGGTCGATATAGCAAGTATCGGTGGTAGCCCTGCAGACTCGCGCATCGATGGTGAAAAACTGCCTCAAACATCCGTGGGTGGCCATCCGAACAGCACTGCAGCCGAAGAGCAGGAGAAGGAGAGGATGAAACAGGCAGAATGGAAGGCCTATGCCAAGTCTGGAGAGGCAGTCCTCGTGGTTGTCATCATTGGCGTTTCCGTCTGGGGCTTCTTTATTTGGCGCAGCCGACAACAACATCGCAGGTATCAAGGCCTGTACCACGAGGATGTGAGTGGGACATCCGTTCTAGAGCGCTTTCAACACAAACGCTCAGGGCCGGACGTAGAGGCGGGAGATTTTGATGAGTCCGAGCTCGATGATCTCCATTCGCCAGACATGGCGCGAGAACATTACGCAGTGGGAGAGGACAGCGACGAAGATGGCGTGAACCGACAGCATCAGCGAACAACCATAAATCCAAGTTGAGCAAGTCGCGTACGAGTCTTTCATTCTTCGTGGACAATCCTCGTGTTATCTTCTTTTTCCTTCTCTATGCTATTCCCCCCAGAGTACCATCTGTTGCCATGTGTGTTGACCATGTTAGCATCATCAGCTTCTCCAAATCAGTAAGGTACATAGACATGAATGTGGCTACATGAAAGCTGCAACGCAAATACAGTGGATGGAGTTTCGATCCCAATGTTCCAACTTAGTGATGTCTACTTTCTTGTGTTCTACAATGCCGATTTCGCAACCCTTTCTATCCGCTGGCTGTCCGATATATTCAACCGGCATGTAATCACCTCTCACTGCAAAAATCATCGGGATCTCCTTCACACCCCGAAGAGCTATCTCCGAAGGGCCCAGACCTTAAGACTCCCATCGTCAGCGGTTGTGACAAGGACCTCCTCGTTCTCTTTTCGGCATCTGTCCGCGCGCCTGGCCCATGCAACATGATTGATCTCGTAGATGCCATGGGCACCCTCTAATATCGCAATAGCTACCCATTCTGTATGAGTTCGAGATGTACTAGCAGAAGTATCTGTAGGAGCATCGGTGTCTAGCGTTCGTGCTGGTGTTGTCAAGAACCGCTCCTCATAGACCACGATGCGTCCATCTGCACCGACGGAAGCTAATAACCCAGTACGCTTGCTCCATGCAACCGCGTAGATGGAGAGCTCATGCATTTGTGGGAGAAGAACGTCTTCTTCCCACGTCTCATCGGTGCCTGCTGGCCGGATGATACTAGGTATGCTCGTACTATTAACCTGCGATTGTGCCTGCTGTTCTTTAGGCCTCCGTTTCCAGATGCGGACTGTTCTGTCATCGGAGCATGAGGCGAGACGAGGGCCAGACATGGCATGCTGGTCCTTCCATTCAGCAGACAGGGATGTGCCCTGCTCACACACCGCAGCAGTAGATGGCACGTTGTCAATACCTTCCCAGTCTAAATACCAGACAGTTCCCGTATGACCCTTGATGCACGCAACCTGGCCCCAGTCGTCGATATCCTCACGCCACAACCGGATGGTGTCGTCGTAGCTGGCGCTGGCCAGACACTCCTCCACGGGATGCCAGGCGACGCATTTTACATCGCCTTCATGTTCCTGCATGACAGCCACGGTCTCGAAATTGTTGTCACCGTCATCCAGGTCTTCCCAGATCCAGATTGACTTGTCCCGGGAGCATGTCGCCAACAACATCCCGGATGGCGACCATGACACCGACTTGACTTCGCTGTCATGTCCATCTAGGAGGACCGCAAATCGCCATTCTTCATCTTCTTCATCTTCCTGAGTATCACGCCCATTGCCGTCGAGTATCTCTGAGCTCAAGCCCCAGGCATCTGTGCCATCCTCTGCCCGACCGTAGCTGTCCCACCGTCGCCAGATCCCCACTGTTGCATCGAAGCTCCCTGTCGCCAGAACACTTTCGCCTTGCACGTGTGGTTTCCAGGCACATGTGCGCACGCTGCGTTTGTGGCCGCCCGAAATGGTTGAGAGAAGCCGAAAGTTGGTTAGCGAGTATACACGGACAGTTTTATCAGAGCTACAGGTCGCAACAATGGGGAGAGAGGGATGGGGTGCGGTCAACCACGTGCGATCGAGGGATGGAGGGGTCAAATCTGACAGCAGTGTGAGGGAGGCAGAGGCAGTTGGGTTTTCGGACATGGTGGATATATCTTCCTTTCTATCCAACATTTTTGTTCGTTTGTCCTAGTTTAGAAGGCTTGCTGGTATTGTGGATTGGGAGCGGACAGAATCTTTGCTGTAGTGGGGGGTGTGGGGTTAGATAGGCTTCTGGGTAGATTAATCTATGATACCTACTGGCTATAGAAGCGACCTCGGAGCGTTGAGTAACATTTACCGATCAAAGGGGTGGAAAGAAACAGAAACAGAAAAGAAAAGAAAAGAAAAAGAAAACCATATTAAAAATTGTAAGATACCAGATCATTGTTATGCTCATGAATGATTCCATGTTATTGTGAAGTGAGAGGGAACAAACCCTAAAAAGCAAGATGGTAAGAAGAAAAAAACCTAGAAAAACACCGCCCGTCTAACATGCTCAGCGCAGATTCCTCCGGATAACCACTTCAAGGCCTAGGTCCTGTCAAAACGCCCTCTCCTAATATTCGCTCATAGACCATACCATGGCACAGCCAGTCTACTTCACGCACTTTTTCCAGCTCTTCAGTCAACTTGCCAACCTCGCTAACAAACTCGGGCATTCCTGCACCGGCCAAGCATTGGCTGGCTGTCGTCGTGGTTCGAATCCTCTCGGCCGCACTTGAAGCACTAAGGCGAGAGAGAATATGGGCGCGCAAACGCGAAAGAATGAGCCGCGCAACAGGGTCTGCGAAGCTAGCCGCACCAGCCTCACTTCTATCAGAGTTCACCGGGTTTTGGGCATCCGCTATCTCTTGTATGGGCGCATTCGTATGAATCTCAACCGTCGTCTGTGTTGCCGCAGATGGAGAAACAGTAGCGCACGCCTTGGCGGCTGGTGCCAGTACCCGCCGGATGGTCGCCGCAAGTTGAGCGCTGGCATTAGAAGGCATTGGGTGTGTTGACTCCAGAATCGACTGTACTCGACTAAGTTCAATATCACCAAAATGCAGAGACATTATACGATCCGCTTCAGCTTTCCATTGCGATCGCACGTCACGCTTGAGTAAATTTTTAGCTGCCAGTAAAATAGACGCAGTGGCCACAATTTTGAATGCTTGTGCGTGCAGTCTCTGTAGTCGTTGGCGGTCCAGCTCTAAGGTCTCAGGAACTAGATCGTCAGACACGGGTGCATTGCTCAGAACAAGATCCACGAGGCCTTGTGCATAAATCCTTGAGGCAGGCGGCTGAGGCTCCCCATTGATATTATCCGGGTCACGCTTCCGGATTTCGTCTACGATAATTTTGTGATGTGTTCGCCAGAAACGCCTAGCTTTCCTCAAGCTCAAGGATCCGTCGCGAAGGCCCCTCTCGAAGGTTCTTTGTTCATAGCCAGGCGCCTCTTGGATAAGTTGAGGGGCAGCCAGTTGGATCATAAAGTTCGTATGATCGAGGGACAGCAAGTCGATTATCCCCATCAGCCTCGCCAGACGATCAATTTCATCTCCCGAAGTGTCTTCCGTAAAGGTCTTGACTATAGGATCCCGGTAAGGAGCACAAAGCTTCGGTAAAATGGTGCTCATGAAGTCGAAGAAGCTAGCGTAAGAGAAAGCACCAACATTACATTGATTCTCAACCAACTTTGGGTCCAGCACTTCGCTAATCAGCACATGAAGCGAATTGCCCGGGCGGAGCGAACGTAGTAATCGATCCTGAATTACTGTAGCCATAGCCACAGTCCAGTTCGTGCCTAGCCCAGCATCCACATCTTTGCGCATCATATCGCACATATGATTCATAATTTGTTTACGCGGCTCCGTATACTGTGTCTCTTCAATCTTGAACTCCTTATTGATGAGAAGTTCGTGTACTAAGACACGGTTCTCTGGAAGGGCAGTTAAAATCCTTGTGAAGCGTTCATGCGGGGAGATTCGCTGCCTTTCAAACTCCCTCAAAACAGCACTCTCCACATTTTTAAAAGTGTCGCTGATAGGAGACGCAACACTCTCAGTGAGCGTTTCGGTCGATGAAGGCGCGACCTCTGCCGACCGTGGAATGGCTTGCCGAGAGGTAGTACGGTTTGTCTCGCGCTTAGCCTTCTTCAAAGCATCCCGTACCATTTGCATTGCTCTTTCCGAGCCGGCGAGGCGCTTCAGCCGGGCGAGAAGTAGAATCTGGTTTTGCCTGATGCCCTGACGATAATCATCTGCCACACCGCCAGCTCGATCATTCTTGACCGTTTGCCAGATAAGCTCCAGCTCAACAAATTGGGCCAGCATGATTTCGATCAGGACGCTAGAGTCATGAGTCTTCCAAGCATGAAAGGCCGAAAAGAAGACATTGTAAGCCTCGCACACTGTCTGAAGCTCCGTAGAATTGGCCGGCGTCAGGCGGTAGCCGGATAAAAGCAGTGGCGTGGTTTGTTGAAATGCTAGAATGAGCTCACGAGCTTTTGCAATCAAATCCTGCTCCTGTTCACCGTTGCTGCTCAGCACCTCAGTTGGATGAGTTACGATCAAGTAACTGCTGAGAAATGTGCGCACAGCGCCCCTTCCGCCCATTGTACCGCTTTCCATATCTTGTAGGCCGCAAAGTTGAAGGACATGAGCTGTTACAGTCAGGACTTTGTTTTCCGAAAGCAGGGCCCCAACATCCTCAAAATCCATGTGTCGAATCCGATTGGGTGTCAAATCCAGCGTTCGAAACTCTTGCATAACCCTCCTGGTATGATAGGTCCTCCATATTCGCTGGATAGTCCTCGCGGCTGCATCCTGTGTGAGTGAACTGCTGACCACCTTAGCCATCTTTTTTTCTTCGCTAGTAGGTAAGCTGCCTGTGCGGTGGCGTCGATGACTTTGCTGATAGATTACACGCCGCTTTTCGGCCTCTGCAAACTTCTCTGCCATTTCCAAGCGAAGTCTGGCGTGCTCTGCAGCTTTCCTCTCCCGGTTATCTTCAGCTTTCTTCTTGGCGCGACGAACTTCCTCTTCACACTTGGCGGTGATCTCCGCCAATAGTCGCTCTCGAGCCTGCTGAGCAGCCAGGGCTCTCTCTTCCCTCTGCAAGTTCCTGGAGGCGGCTTTACTAAGGGCGGCGCGAAGCCTCACCTTCTCTGCATGCAGAGCACGGTCTGCGAGCCTCGCTTTCCGGCTCTCGAGAATGGAAGTTCGCCGGAGATGTTGCGCGATATTATCGGAGGGAGACGCGCCATGAGATGAAGCATTCGAGTGGTGTGAGTGTAAAGATGAGACCGAACTTCGACGAGAGGAGACAGCCGAGGAGCGGCGAACCACACTCGACTTTCGAGAGAAGCGGGCGGCGAGGCGGGTGGGTAGGCTCAGTGGTGGTGCTTGCTCCCCTGACAGCATTTCTATGTCTGCTTCATTTACAGCATCTGCAGTACCTGTAGCACCAGGGAGCTGAACCTCAATATCTGAGTTGCGACGGATCATGACCTTCGAGAGCAATGAGGCTATGCTACTCGCATCCAAGGGCGGTTGTCGCTAGCAGGGACCGGAATATATCGAAAGGTGACGTCAAGTATAGGCCTTGGTCGACAGAAACAGATAATACTCTCTCAATGTAGCACTCGAAAAAGGAACTCAGGGCAGTTTTCACGAACCCTGGTCTGCAGAGAGATGTATCTCGTTTTAGAAGGGGGGCGTAAAGGTCAAAGTGCCGGGGCGGAAGTGACTGGAACGTACTACGTTGTAGGTGATGGTGAGGGTTCACAGACTACAGTAGGGAAAGAAGAGAAGAGCAAAGAGGTAATACATCCATTCAACCATGTGTGTGTGGGTGCATCCATTTATTCATATCGCAGAAACAAGGTTGTTATCTAATCTCATTCTGGAGAAGGCCATCGAAGGAATGCTGCCTGAGTAATGCAGGCCGCAAGCAGGTGGTTAGCTTAGGTAAGCGCCAGTAACCTAACTAACGTATTCGGTAAGCACCCTGCGCATGCAAGTACCCTGCGCAGCTCTGTATTCCATACAAATCAGCGCTTTTTACTACTTGAACATCTCAGCAACCAGAGATAGTAAAGATACAATAATTAATATTTAATAGAGTATAGGGTAAATACGGCTGTTAATAATTTTTTTGAATTTTTTTCTTCTTAACTTTACGTTCTAAAGTAGAAATATCAAAAATATAGCTGTAATATTCAATACCGAAAGAAGTATTGCTTGTATAAGTTTCTCTGCTTTATATATTAATATTTAAGTACTATTATATACTTCTCTTGGATTTGGGACTATTATAGCTTGTGGTTGCTGAGATATTCGAATACTAAAAAGGGCTGATTTGTATGGAATACAGAGCTGCGCAGGGTACTTGCGTGCGCCAGGTGCTTATTAACTAACGTATTCTGTATACGAGCGGGCCATGTAGTTCAGCGGGCCAACTTGTATTCCATATAATAAGGCACTTTTACAAATCAATTATCTCAACAACCAGAGCCAGCAGAGATATATATTCTAGTATATGATCTATTTTATCACTATAAATATATATATTAGATAGACAGAGCTCTATATTAAATATTATATTAAATGATATTAATTATAATGTATTTTGTGTAATATATCTATATCTATTGTCAAGGAAATATCTACTATTGAGGGTAGAAGACCTGTCAACTAGGTAAGGGTACGTAGGCCGAAAGCTAAGCAGTAGATATCAGGCAGACAGAAGACTGATTCTTGCCTTCTTCTTCCATTAACATTCGGCTAACTTTATATCCAGAAGAGGCCCCTTATTCTCCTAACAAGATAAGACTGACAATGAGCTACTATACACTATTGAAAAGTCAACGGATATGTGATCCGTCGTCGCCGTTCGGCCTCCGAGCTGTATATGCACGGGTATACGATACAGTCATCATGCAGAGTCATCATCGGATCTGAGACATTTATATTTAGAGCTTTAGAAAAATATATTAAAAATGAATTAAAATATATATAATATTTACACTTCCTATATATATATTTATATTAAGTATTACATAACTACTAGTTCTGGTTATTGAGATAATTGACTTATAAAGGTACCATTTTATATGGAATACAACTTATATAGAGCTGCGTCGCCAGCTTACATGCGTCACTCGCTTACCAGTCACGTTAGTTAGTTAGCATCGACTGTAGTTGTAGTAGTAGTAGTAGTAGTAGTAGTAGCAGCAGCAGCAGCAGTCAAAGATGTATGAGGGTCCATGGGTTGGAATGCGAGCGACTTCCAAGTCTCGGCTGGCCAAAAAGATTTTGGCTAGCGAATAGGCGACTCAACCATCGTCTAGCGCCCGTTGCCTGGGAATGCTGCAGCAGTTCCAGAAACGAACCAATAGTAGTTTTATTATTTGTAGGAGGTACTACTAGTCAAGTCCTACACCTATGGACGTGTAGTTAACTAGACATCATCACGTACGTTCACTTTTTCTGGGATCCTTTACAAACAAGGAACATTGTTCCCATCGACAAATATATGTACATACAAAGCTTTTTGGTGCTGAAGTTGTATGGCTTCAGTGATAGGCACAGCGACGCCTCTATTCAACCCCAGTCGCCTATATGATCATCCCAGTTTATATTTAAACAGTCTCTCGGACACGCTAGCTCCTGTCCGTGTAGTGTTATCGTAAGTTTCTGGTAAGATCCGAGAATGTCCCATGGCTGGCTCATACGAGTCGAACGCTGTTCTCCCGGACGATGAAGCGAGTTTTGAAGCACCAAAAATTGATTGTACTGACAAAGTTCCAGGACACCAATGCTTTATGAACACCACAGAACTGCTAGACATGCTCATCGACACTAAAGTGAGTAAGGGATAAAATGGGAAAAGACAGAGGCGTAGAATGCTACTCTGCCGTCATACAATTTGACCCATGACTGAAAGCGAATGTGCTGGGTATCTACTAATAAAGCAGTAATGGCGTTTGAGAGAAGATTGGCTATTTCGTCGTCTTCACCTGTGTCCAAAGATATCTATCTTCTCGTCATCATCGTCGTCGTCGTCGTCTTCCTCAGAGTTGCCTTCCTCAGAGTTGCTGCAATATGACCGCTCATCATCATCATCACCGTTGCCGGCTTCTGAGGTTCCATCGACCGACTCAGTCCCTCGACTAAGAAATCCATACCTGTACTTAAACTTCGCACCCCAAAAGCGAATTTCGCCGCTATTTTCGGTTTCATTCTCCTTGGGCGCTCGGTCATTAAAGAATGACGTTGACTTTGGTCTCTCAGAGCCACGATCGGGGGGTATGCCAAAATAGTTACTGATCACTGGGGAAACAGCACGGCCACGACTGATACTGTAGGAGAATCGCTCACTTGACTCAGCTGATATTGGTGCATTGGGTCGTGCGTTTGAGTGGATATCCTGGCCGGAGTTGGTGTCAAGTATCGATGTTGTCAATACTGGGAGCGCAATATTGCCCGTGCCTTGAGATGATGACCTTGTTCGAGACGCTATGAAGCCTTCTCTCGCATAACCATCTTCGACTGAATCCAGTGCGTTTCCGCTCAATAATCGAATTTGAGCAGTGTTGTATGATTCGCACCTGGCTCGTTAGTGACCGTCAAACTGGGGGTCATCCAAATAAGCTTACATATCACATCTTAGCCCCAGCCAGTGGTACATAACGACAGACTTTGCACCACAATCGTTACAGTAGATTAAGGCTTTTGTGTCATTGAACTCAGCGGGCATAGGTTGACTTTGGATCGTACGGTCCAGGTTTCGAAAGGTAGATTCCATATTCGTTATAGTTTTGCTGCATATTGGACAGCGATATGAATTTTTTGAATACTCGGAAAGACACTTTTGGTGTATGCTGTGTCCACACCGCATAAAGACGACGGTCTCAGGGGATGTAAACATGTAGTCCCCACAGATAGGACAATCACACTGCGTCGAGCGCTCAATGCATCGATGCGTATTCTCGATCGAGATAGGCAGACAGACGCAGCACGTCTAACATTGTTTATCAGCAATCGCCTATGAGCGCAATTATCCTTTCATTTGGTCGTTGTGGCCTACCTTGCAGTGAAAAAAATCTTTGCCTAAGCCTTGGCCGATTCGACAGATTCCGCAGTCATTGCAATGGTAGATACTTTTGCTAGTGTCGTTGTCCCAGAGCTTGCAGATGTTGCAATAGTACTGCGAAGATTGTTCGCCGCATTGCCTACAAAATTGCGTGGCAGGTTGAGCATGCCCGCATAACATGCATAGCATGCTTTCTGTTTTTGGCCGATCGAGGTGATGGTCTTCTGCCTCATCGTGGCAAAATCGACAAGTATACCATTTCTTGCAAGCGTAACATTGTAGTTTGACATTCCTTTTATAATGTCGACAACCTAGACAAGCCTCCTCGAATTCTTCAGCATCCGTATCATCAATATCTTCAGGGGGCAGTTCTAATTCATCTCTAGGGGAAAAAGTTGGTTTCAAATCTTCAGCTGTCAAACAATACTGATTTTCTTGATGTGCGATCGAAGCTGGGGTAGCAGGGGTTAGGCATTGCTGGTCAAACGATTGACTGCTCCAACGGTGATTTGGAATGACAGATCGATCCGAGCTTGGGGGCCTGAATAGTGACGGTGTTATTCTTATCGTCTGGTCATCCAGATTACTTCGAGAAGCATTATAGTTTTCTGTCATTAAGTCGTGGATCATACGTGCTTGCTCCATGCTACTGTAGTTTAGATCCCGGATGGCATGGATCTTTTTCCTCAAGGCACCCATTCCATCGTCTTCTGGAAGCGAAGAGTGTCCACCCGTATCAACTAGGTTAAGATGACTCTGCGATACTCGCTGGGTTCCCCGCAGGGTTGAGCTTGTTTGTTGAGAGGCATCGTGTGTAGAGATAGCAACTGAGGTGGCCAGCCGTGGTTCCGCCAAATCGCTCCCATGTATGATAACCGCATGGTTGTCTGAGATTTCAGAAACGTTATTGTCAATTATCTGCCTAGCACGGTGCGACAGAGAAAGGGGTTCGGTTTCGTGGTTCTGGTCGTTGAAGCCAGTCGGCCAAAGCACAACGGACGAGGGGCTGTCTTCGGAGGCTACATATTCACCATAAGCCCCTATATTAGGATGCATTTCTTGCTCTGAATATGACATAACACCTCTCGCGATGTTATCGCAGTCGTCTTCGCCTCTGTCTGAAGAATACCAATCATAGATGCTCGAAGCTTGAGTAACAGGCGAGCCGGATTCTTCAGTCTGCTGTGACAGACGACGGGCTTGCCGAACGACGGGTTCGATCAGCAAAGAAGTGATGAGCCCGCTCATGAAGGGCCGGAGGCAACATTTGACTGAGAATAAAACATAGGCGGTACTAACTAGTCTTTTGAAAAGCTGAGTTGCCGAAGTTATGTTGCAACCAGAAGGAATAAATATCCTGCGAAAGTGCCGGAATAAGGAAGGCAAAGCATGTGACAATCAGAGGCCGGGATCGACCGCTGATTTGTTGCATGATTGCCAGATCGTTCTGATGGCGGAACCCCGTGAATCTTAGCTTTATTCACTGAAAAAGAAAATAAAATAAAATAAGAAAAAAAAAAAAATGAACGCGAAAATGAAAGAGGAAAGAATAATGAATACCTAAGGAATTACACTTCTCAACCGCACATATACTGTTATTCAACAGGGGTCATCACTGATGTGTATTTTAAATCGAAAGGCGTAGACTGTATTTCGTACGCACTACATCTCTGCTGGACCCAACTCCTCTGGCTTTCTAGTATCACATAATGAAGTACAACTTTAACCGATGTCTAAAACGAAGAGTAATATTACCCCTTATTATCTGAGGCATGTCCCTAAGCTCTCATTCAGAAGCATTAATGTCAAATTAAATTGCTCATTGGCATCTCTGCGTAGAGTGGACTCTCTTTGGTCAATCCCTAGCCCTTTCAATCTTCACAAGTTAGAGGTAGCACTCTCGCAGTACTTTCATTTTCTCCATATGTCACCTACAATCGCAAATCCTTTCTCACTTGGGGTTGCTCCCAGTACCTAACCATCATCAAATTCTTCACGATCTTATGTTCCATGCCCGCAGCGTTGGCAGCTCGCTGGAGGAAGCGTAGAGTGTTGGCTATCCTGTGTGGATCGAAATCATGACGAGGAGACGAGCGAAACGAAGATCGCAAAGTTCGGAGAAGGACATGGCGCGATGGAGTAGAATAATTAATCACCCGCAGTCCTTGCCGGTAAAGATGACGGTAGGCCTGAATGACAGCTCGCTGATCCACATGAGTGGCACTACTCATGGTGTTTAAAGGTGTAAAGAAAGCTCAAATGACCGCAATGTTCATGACTAGTAAGGAAGGTGGTATGGGCCAGTCTCAAGAGAACATTCGTCGAATTGGAACAGCGCTCAGTTGGGACTAGCCTAGCCGAAACAGGTAGGCGCCTCCTGCGCCCGCGTTAGGCTGCAAATGATCGGCTGGTTGCTACCCTCCGCATCTCTCTTTCTATCTGTATGTTGGTCCGCGGCGCTGCCCTGCAAGCATAGTTTCAATCAATCTGGCCACGTTCCTTCCTTCTTTTTCTTCCATTTCAACGATTGCAAAGCAGTGGCTGCACCGGACGGTTATAATCCTATCTAGCTCCATTTTTTCCTCTAGAGCTGCACGTGTTCTTTGTGTAGAGATGAATCACTAACTGGTCCTACCAAGCTATGGCACGCTACTGATTATTATTTCTTCTCCCGAGCTACATGGCCAGCTCGCCGAGCTCAGCTGTTGTTCGTGCATTGCGTGCTTGAGGAGGCACTGTTATAATGAATGCTTGTCTTCTGTAGTGATTTGAAAACCAAACACCCACCGCATGGCGCGAGTATTTCGACGGCCCGCTTCGGCTCTTGCCAGGCGTGCTTCAAGTAGGGCCGCTCAAAGGGCCGCTCGGAAGCATAAGGTGGTCATGGAATCCGTTACACAAGAGAAGAAAAAGCTTCGGAGTGTTGTATGTTATTGTGTCGTTGGCTTTCTCGGGAGGATCTTGACAGTCGTGGCAGATATCGTTTGAAGCGAAGGCCCCTCCGGGTTATACCTTCATTCCCGCTGGCAATCCCCAGCTCACCTCTGCATGCAAGGAAATATGCCGAAAAGATGGTCTCAACGTTTTTGCTGTCACGGTAGGCCAACAGACGTTTCTCTTCCCATCCGTCCCTCTTCCCGTCGCCGCCGCTCCGTTTTTACTTAGCCTACTTCTCTTCTCTAATTCTTGAGCTTACCTGGCAGACAACTCCGCATATGCACACCCACAATCTTTCTCAGCATGTGCACAGGATTGGGTATCATTTTCCAAGTGCTGTTGTTGCGACTGTATGTATGGATTTAGGTCTCTATCTCACACCAACAGGCAAGGCAATGCCATTTCGAAACATTAGCTATACACAAAATCGCAAACGCACTAACTCAGAATCTTCTCAAACCACCATTAACACTGAGGCTCGGGATGTGTTGAAGGATCTTTTCCCTAATATACCAGACAACGATCTGAACCAAATCATCAAGACTGCGTTTCAAAAAGTATGTGAAGCATTTCTGCACCAGCTAAAAGCAGGCGCGAGATAATCGTACTAAATCAACGGAAGGGTCAACGCAAAGTGGGCACGGCAGTTGAGTTACCCCTCGCTCGCCGAGCACAACTAGCAGTCGTGGCCCATATTCGGCATGTGTATACTGATTACGATCGTCTTCTCAAAACCACATCATTCCACGAGGCTAGAAGTATTGTTGAAGAACCTACCTTAGCCAAATTGGTGGAGTGGAGAGGCGATGATGAAAACGGAAAAACAGTCCTTGAGGATGTCTTCCGCGAAGTCATTGTTATTTCTGATGATGAAGATAGTGATACTGAAGGTGACATACCTCAGGCTGTGGATCGGGACTACAGTGTGAAGATCATTTCGAGCCATCCACGTGCAGAAGACCTTCAAATGAAGCCAGTCAATTACTCAAACTCTACCCATCGAGAACATCACCTGGAAACCTCGGATGAGGAAGCCCCGCCGGGTTTTCATTTTATTCGAATAGCTCCTAAAAGGCCAAGAATTGACCGCCGCGGCTTCAGCAGATACCAAGCCTGGGACCGCGCCATCCACCGATATAGGAATGCAGCCAACCGGACTGACCAACGCAAGCTTTATGTCAGTTCTCCTAATCAGGGAAGACCTATATATGCTACACAGCAGCCCTGGCAGGATAACTTCGAGGTTAATAGGGACCATGCTCCAGTCCAAGGCGTTCTTCATCGGCAGATTTCCGCCGCACCGTACGGGAACACGATTACTGGGCCGCACATATTAGCTATCGACCCTGTGGCAGAACGCCGTGTAAGTTCTCAAGGTGCACTAGTCTTTCACCTAACATAACTATTCTTGCCGGTTAAGTATTAAAACTACGTCGTGCTAATTTTAGAGAAGCCATATGAGGTATATCCTATATCCCGATCACCTCGTCAAAGAGAGGCTGTTCTCAAAGTGGTGCAGGCTCCAGAGTCTTCTGGGGCTAAGCATCTACTCCATCAAGGTGACCCACCAAATGCCCCTGTCTTCGTTAGTGGCCCTAAGAAGGTCCTTGGGAACAATGGGAACCAACCTGGATCTGGCCCTATTCAAGGCAGACCAAACGTCAACCCACAGGACTGTGTCTTACCTTCTATTGAACCTCCTTTGTCACCGGAAAACAATACCCTGGATAATGGCCTATTAGATCACATTGCCGGAAGGATGTCGGGGGGGTGCTCTATTCGCTCATTAACACCACGTCGTCTCCAATACAAGGATATCCAACGCCCATTCCTTGAAGATAGGACGCAAGACCAACTACCAAAAAGAAGGCGCGTGGCTTACTACGAACCTGTCAATGTCGATAAGGGCCTTTCTCACATCGCTCGTACCAGCAACCCGGTGGATGCTTTCACGGGAGAACGGTATATGGCCTTGGGATATCCACCGGGGAAATCTCCTGTTCAGGGTGATATCCATATTCGTAAAAGATATCTAGCACCGTTTGATCCCATTCCTCAATCAGAGTCCCAATTAGGGAAAGTCCAGGTGTCCAGTTTATCTGCTACCCATCATGATCTTAAACCAGGGACCCTGCTCCAGGAAGACTATGAACCTGCAGGACGCCAATCGCTACCTCGTAACCAATCACATGAAACTCGCACGCAGTGGAGGTCGCAGGGACAGCTCCGCCCTTTGCCAGAGGCCGGAATGGCCTTTCCGACGACGCACTGCTCTGATAGAGCTGTTCCTGGGCGGTCTTCTAACTTTAGCGAACAGACGAATTTCCATCAAGACCATTACACCAATGAGAGCACGAAACCATTTAATGTATCAGAGTCTTATAAGTCTACTCGGGGCCACACTAATGACCACGCTCTCATGGCGCTTGGAAATACCCAATGGCGGAGGCACTATGCTGATGATTTCGTTCGTACTATTGATTCGCAGGCCCCAATTCCAATGGAGTATCCGGCACAACATCACTTTTATAGAGACCATGCCCGGGAGCCCCTTACTCAGCAGGCCTATTTTCAACTCCCACATCATCCTTCCTACAACACTACTGTGCCGGGTAATGTCAGCTCAAAGCAGCCTTCTGTTCGAGATTCACTGCATTCACCTGCCCAATGTTATGCTATGATGGATAACTCGGGCATAAGATACCATGATGCTGGCTTGGTCGAGTCTGCATACACAGAGCGGCCATTCCAAGATTCGCATAATTTTCCACGGTATGGTTTTGAATACAGTAGTCTGTTTACGCAGTCATCTCTACACGTGTCCTTCTTTTCCCAACTCGTCCACCATTCTTTCGATGCCGCGGACACGTTGACTAACTTCTCTTGCAGGAAAATCTGTGAACAACAACCACACACACGATACACACCAGAACTAGACCGCCCTACCTATGTGAGGAGAGGCGATCGATCTCAACCCTGTCACTCAGTGCCCGAAGGTAGAACAGTTGTTATTGTGGATTAGGTTGATGAGCTGGTCTGTTTATGGGCGCTCTGTTGCATTGAATCCAGCAGATCTAGTTTCTAGTGTCGATTCCTGCATGGATACTGTACATACATATGATAAGCATAATACCCAAATGTATGCCAATTGACATCGTGATAATCTACTACGGCCATGATAAAAAACAAGTCTGCACCTGAGTATTCAGAACTGTTCAGCACCCTTAGGGCGACCTAAGGTAAACCATTTGCATTCGCCTCTTGAGAGAAGAGTAAAGGGGAAATAGTTTTAATTGTGAGAAGCAGAGGTTTTAAGCGCAGCTCTGTCATGACCATCTCAAGAGAGGCCAGATCAAAGGACTCCTGCCTCCATCGCAACATATGCCGGCTTGCTATCCATCAATTCATCGACCCGAGTTCTTCGAAAGTGTGGCCACCTGTCGGCAAAGCGTTCCACTCACACAGCCATGGTTTGCCCATCTGCTTCTCCAGCATTGACTGTCTTCCCAGTTTTCTTGATAGTATCCAACACTCTCTCATATGGCACGGACGGTTCCGTCACGACGGTGGCAGTTTGAGAATTCAGACTGACATCGAAAGATTTGACACCTGACAATAAAAGAGTTAGTGAGCTGCGAGTTATCTATGTTCCGTAGATTACTAGATAGCCATTGTCGTGGTCAATTATTTACGCATCACTAGTATGCCAGGGAGTATTTTTCTTTTTTTCTTTCTTTCTTTCTTTCTTTCTTTCTTTCTTTCTTTCTTTTTTCTTTTTTCTTTTTCCCTCTTCTTCTTTGCCTTCTCCTCTTGGTCTATCTATGCATGATTTTGGGGGGAGGGGGGTTCTAGTCGAGGTTCAGGGGATGTGGGGAAGAAGAGGGGGGAGAGAGAAACAACACCTACCTTCCAACTTCTTCAGTACTCGTTCTACGGCCCCAGAGCAACCGCCACAGCTCATGGTGATGTTAAATTTGTACTGGTGTTCAGACATGGTCGAATGATCGGTCCGTTTTGTTTAAAGGAGGATGGAGGGGAAGTGTCTCTTCTGAGGTAGCGTTAGGCGAGGGATTTGGTGGGGAACAAGATCAGTTAGTCGGAGCGGAAGAGGGCAAGCCAATATTTAAAGTATTCATGGGTGTTGTTGGTAAGATGTAAATGATGTGATTCTCTCGGCCCAGGCCAGGCACAAAGGCTACATATATATCAACTATCTGAAAGGGAAAAATGCAGTAACCACCCATACTCTCTACATGAAACAATGAACTTAATCTATTTTAGGCTAAAAAATGTAATTTCTCTTATTCATATCCTTCTCATTTCGCTATTGATTTCCAAGGAGGACAAATGACTACACCTCTTCCCTTTTACCTCCTTCGCCTCCTTTTTCGCTCTCTTCCTCCCCTTCCCCTCTTTTAGCCTTACTCGAGCAGAAAGAGACCAAACCTAGGCGACTAAAAGCCAGCCGCTCGCTTCTTCTTTTTTGCCTTCACAGTACTTTTCCTCCCAGCTTCTCGGCCACCAAACGCCCCTCGCTCGACTTGGGTCATAGGAAGGTCGTCTTCTATGACCTGACTGCTCTGAAGTCGCACCATGGGCTGTTCATTGATCTCAGGCTGGCTGCCCCATTCTCGGACAGTAGGTGCTGCTGATGTCGCTGGACGAGGGGCGAAAGAGTCTACTTTCTTTTTCTTCAACCTGCGCTTTGGGGTCATATCCTTAGTGTCCCACTGCGATTCCTCCAGTTCCAGTGCTTGTACGGTTCTTTGCCAGTCATATGTAGCTGGGTCTGTCCCCGGTAGCCAGTGTTGTAATATATTTGTCACATTTGGAGACACAAACCGCTTCCGCTCGCCATCGAAATCGGTAAAAGCAGCTAGGGTTGAGTTAAGGAATCCCGAATTTTCATCAGATGTTCCACGGTCTTCGGTTGCGAAGCTACTCCAGTCACCTTCTCCTGGTATGGCAGACGGGAAGAGTGCCAGTTTCCCGCTCCTGAACTCCGAGGTAAACTCTGAACTGGATGGTAGCGCACCTTCTCTTTGGTTTGATGATTGGGAATTAGTTCCATTCGATTCATAATTTATCCTATGCGCTGCGACCCGTGCCAAGGCAAAATCAGTTGCAACATTTCGGATGATTTTTTCCTTCGTGATTCGTGCGCGAATAGGTATATTATGGGACAGGGTAAGCCAATCATTGACTGATTGGTCATATATCTCTATCAGGCCAGATCTAGAAGACTCTGTCGATTGAATAGGCTTGGTAGATCGCAAATTTAGATGGCCAGGCAGTTGCATTACAAGCTGTTGATGTCTGTGGGTGCATGTGTTATCTGTTAAGAGCGCAGATAGCAAGTCCTCGACATCCTGTGCAATCTGGTCAACATCATCTAATGACGAGCTGTGACCAAGAATTTCAAGCCTAGGGGTAGTCAGTACCATGGCGTTTAAACGATATATTTCTTCATGAATCATACAGAGTCTGACTAGCCGCTTGGCTCGCTGGAGATGCAGGTATCTTTCTTTTCAACTCTTTGAGAGACTCCTGAAAGCCCTTCTCATGCCTCTGACCGGGATCGCCTCCCGGTGAAACCATGAGTCTCCCAATTGCAACTTCATAAACCTGCGAGAAGTCGATAGCCCATTGGGAAATTGCAAGTGGTGTAATATTAGAAATCCCAGTATCTGGGAGAGTAGGCGTTCCAGGGCTTACTACAGACTCGTCGCAGTCATCAACTATGAAATCCCCGTAAGACTGTGATGAATGCAATTGCCTTTGGCGTGTCGTTCCATAGCGCCTTTTCAACCGGATGATATTATTTTCCACGTCTTGCCTACCCGAAGCACCGTTATCGGAAGGCCCAACATATATTGATTCATGAACAGATAGGCGTGAGTCTAACATGAAAAGCTTTATAAGCTTCACGCCCGGATCACAATCTCTTATTCCCGCCGTCGATGGTAGATGCATGATACTTCTGAAAACGAGTGATGAAAACCGTGACAGGCTAGGTTGACACTCGACGTTATATTCAGACCCCAACGGGATATCTAAAACAAAGGGATCGGGCATAGGTTCTATGTCTTCATGGCTGGTGGATACTGCAGGGCAATGGAAAGTCAGTGCAACGTGGCTTAGTCTTGAGTACAGCACAAGATAGAGGTCCTCATATATAGAGAGATGTGCCAATCGCAAAGTAGTGTCTTCCGGATCTCGAAAGTGACGCCAGGACAAGCGAGGAAAAAGGGAGGGTTTTTTCCCATCTTTAGCGGCCACAACAAAGTCAGTGTTCACATCTAGCCAGAAGACCCGCGATGTCGTTAAGATGAAGATATTGGATACGTTGCAGGAGCTCCGCTTAACATCCAAAATCCACTCCGAATTTTTCTTCAGACCAAGCTCTATAGGGTAAGGGCATGCCTGATCGTCTTCCGTCCGATAGAGCATGGGACAACGCCTGTCAGAGACAATTAAACTATTGACATCTCCAACCCACTCTATGGCCGCCCATCCATCATGTCGAGGATAACCGTCTATATCGTGGCTGTCACCAAAATCCAGCCATGGTAGTGCGCCGGATTTGACGCGTGCAACAGTCCAATTACCTTTATTCTGTCTGTGACGACCAGATATCTCCCAAATGCTCCAGCTTCCCCGCTCATCAACAATGCCGATTTGCTTCTGGTACCAAGGATTGAAAGTCACGGCTGCATGTGCAGAGCCGCCAGTTTGAGAATTGGATATTTCCACCAATGGGTTTGCATCTAGACGTGTAGCACGGGAGCTACTTGGCAACATCTGATTGCTTTTGTGGCATGTGTGAGCAGGCATAGGCCGCCTATGATAGAGTGGCCGGAACACCAAGGTAGAGTGAGGAAATCGGGCCGCCATCCACGTTGGCTTCTCTTCCACGGTGCGCGCAAAACATATCTGGCGGACAGGGGCGCCTCGTGCAGACCACTCGGCACTTCCGGTTTCCTCAATGGAGGGGACACGCATAGGGACTGTTGTACCTAGCTTCAAGTCCACCCAATCTTCGTCCAGTTTGTATAAGGAAATGGCATTGCCACACTCGCCCGACGCAACTACTGCGATCGGGACAGTTCGGCTCCCCGATTCATCGTTCTCGAGGTCCACTGCATACCCCAGGTCTAAGAGTGACGAGACTAAAGGGTCGCATATCTCGCTTGTCGTTGTGACGGTATGGGAGAGAGTCTCATTGTTAACGAGCGGCCAGCAAGCTGCAAGCTCGGGGTAAACCTTTGAGACGAGACTCTTGTTCTCGATTTGTGATGATTGTGGGGCTGTAAGGGGCGATGTGATAGTGGTCTTCGTTGCCTCAGCGAAGATTATACGAGGTGCTTATAGCAGGGTCAGAGTCAGTATGAGGGAAATCAGCAAACGATTCGTATTGTCCAGAGAAACCTACGCGAAGCCAACGTCCGGGAAAATTCCCAAATCTGTGTCTCCGGATGGTATACCGCTTTACCCAAGTGCCCATATTGTAGAGCACTGGCAGAATGTTCATCCATGGGGGTTCTCTTGGCTCCTGACGATATGTACAAGCTCTAGCCTTGCAAGCATATCGAGAACCGACCAGTAGGGCGTTCAATGACGCAGTTCAGGTTAGCTTAAAAGACACGAGCAACTTCTTCGCAGGTGTGGTCATATATATGCGCTTCTACCGGCCATTGAAAAGTGAACATATGGAATGGTCGTCAAGCATATATAAATATACTAATGCATGCACCGCAAGTTAATGGCTTTTTTTTAATTGACATATCTGCCACCTCTTACCGCCATAAACACGTATCAAGTGTCCCGCATTAGAATCACGTGATACTTATTTGCCAAAGTCATTGCCAAGTCTTAGTGCGACTGTTGCACCGCAACAAACAGTTCAGACGAGAATTACCACATTTTTTAGTGGAACTATACCCTTCCTTACTTGTTTATGATTAAAACGTGAATGACATCAGAATTAGGCGTTGCGCTCACTCATCATGGCTTCTTCTTTCGAACCCTCATTATCGACTAGTGGCATGCGTCCACCTCTCACATCAGCAGATGCACCTTCTATGGCTGATTCACTGCCTAGTATAGACTTCGGTTTTGAGGATCTACGCAATCGCATGGCCCAATTCACTGCTCGATTCGATGCTTTCATTGAGAAAGGCAGAAAACAAATATTGGAGGAGAGGAATCAGTTCAAGATTGGGTTGGCAGAACTACAAGGTGCGTATATGTGGACACTCAAAGGTACTGTGACTAATTCATGCTTAGAGGACCAACGAATGAAACAGAGGGATATCGAAATCTTGAATCTCAAGTCGCAAACTCACGACCAAACTATTCAGAAGGAAGCCGCCGAAGCCGCCGAGATGCATGGCACAATTTCATCTGTAACGATGGAGCGCGATTCTCGTCTCGCTAAGCGAGATCGCCTGAAACAACAAATCAACGAGACACAGAAGGCTATAACCCAGAAAGTGGAAGCCCAGAAGGCTCATGCCCGGCATCTCGATGCACAGGCCCGCCTAAACATACCAGAGCTAGAATTCTGGCAGGATTATCTTTGTCTTCGGATTGAGGGGGCCGGGCGGGAGGATCGCCTGAAGTTCATCTTTAGCCACCTACTCGAGAAAGATTGGGAAGCTGAAGCCTGGTTTGAACTCGGCACGTCTAGTCGCGATTACGAAGTGTTTCATACACGCCCCAAAGTAGACAGGGATGCTCTTAATAGGGAGTTAGATATTTTAAACGAGGATCGCGACTTTGGCGCTTTTCTAAAAAGGATGCGCCGTCTGCTTGTCGAAACAATGAAATAGAAAAGGCCCACTAGTTGGTACGGTAGCGGAATTTGACTATGTTGAAGACAGCATAGCTTCTTATGTTGATGGTCATGAATTATGGCCTGGTGTAGCCGAGACAAATGCATTGCTAAGAAAGGTAAAAGTATAAAGTTCTCTAAGCAGTCAACAGGAAATTTACTCGATCTGTTATTGAGACATCTGCAGAAGTATGCCTAAGTCTCATGGATTGCACTTGTCAACAAATCAACCGCCTGTAGCTTCCCTGTAGAATGATATGCTGCGGCTTGCCCCGGCCGTGGCAAACCCTTCTGACTTCCCAATATTCGGTAGCCATTTGACGTTCCAAACGGCTCTCTCCGTTTCGGAATGCGTTGCAACACATGTTCTAGTATCGATCGACCAGACCTTCACTTTTCCATCGAATGATCTTCTATATCATTAGCGCAAATCTGTTGAGCAGTTCAGGTGTTAAAGGAAAGGCATACCCGCTTAAAAGATATTCTCCCGTGTGGCTCCAAGAAAGCGACAAGACCCATGCTGAATGCCCTGGGAGATTGGCCACCTGCTCGCCAGATGAAGTGTCATACAACACGATCACGTTGGAGTCTCCACCAGCAGCAAGAAACTTTCCCCCGGGGGAGAATGCAACAGCTCGCACGGGCTTCACTAGGCCTGCAAGATATCAGATAAGCCTGTCAATTAAATATGCGGGATTATAGGGATGTATGTGAGGCATGTACCTGACAAGCTGAACGGCATACGACCTGTTTCCGTGCTGAAGATATAGACGCTGCCATTCTCATGCCCGCTAGCTATGAAGCGGCCATCTGCCGACTATATGAGACTGTCAGTGCGACCGAAAGAGATGAAAAACTAGGTAGACAGGTTACCAAGTCTATGCAAGTACCAAAGCTACCTTTGGTCTCATAATAACGTATTTGTTCGCCATTGGCATCCAAATCCCACACTCGAATGTGCCCATCTTGGCTTACACCGGCAAGATACTGGCCATCGTCTGACAACGCAATTGCCCAAGTATCAGTGGATCCTGCGCTACCAGCTGTTCAGATGTTAATATAAGAAGCCACTCGAGGATTAAAGCACATTCGATTACCTGAGGCTGTCTTATTTTCGGACCAGGTTCCATCATGACAGGACCAAACCCTGATCTCACCACCAAAACCAACACTCACTGATCTCGACCCACTGCCATCAGTTACAACATGATGACACCCAAGTTTATGGGCTTCATCGATTGATTGTACTAACGGGAAATCAAGGTCAGCGGTCGAGTGAATCTTGAGAGCAGAGACACCAGAAGCCGATATAATCTGCTTGTTGGTTATAGCCAATGAAAAGATATCAGTAGGGTGTGCTATACACTATTAGCACAACATTAATCAGATACGGGATAGGAGAAAAGGGAGAGTGGTAGAAGAGTTAGGGGAAACAAGTTCGGCTTGGGGAAGCGTAAGAATATGGAGGAACTCCCTATACATACCATTATCTGCGGAACCGCAGGATAGATACTGTTTCGACTATGATTGAATGTCAGAATAGGCGGTTGTAATATAATTTATTTCCGAAGGCTTACCATTGTAAAATGTCTTAACCATGTATGGGGACAATCTAGTTCGCAGGCATCCACGCTCTGCGGGGATGAACAAAGTCGATGTAATTCGCGACAATAGTGGGACAATTTCACCGTCGGGTGAGATCATCAAGGCCCGCCTTCATATGAGCCAACAGTGGCATTCTTAGAAACTTACATACTACGCAATTTGCAGGCATTGGTAATAATTTAGCAGGAAGTACGAGATATGGCCATTCGATTGAGGAAGTCTTTTTTTTTTTTTTTTTTTTGGCAAAATAATATTGTAAACAAACACGTAAATTTCCCTGTCAGAACCAGACGCCGAATGCCATGCAGCATATATATATCCGACACTTCATGTATAGTAAAAGTACAAGCCCCAAGAGCACAGTTAATCCACCGCTTTCCTCGCCTTCACTGACACTGTCAGTCTTCATTCTCAAGCAGTTTGGGTTTGCTTCCATTGCTTTTTAATATCTGTCAAGTCATTAATTGTCGAACTTGGACCTGATCAAGACGGTGGTGCAAAGTCACATACTCTCAACACAGTGTGGGCATAAAACATGCGCACGCTTTATTTGACCGCACCCAGGGCAGGTGTTGATGCTTTTGACATCCTTCAAAGCCTTCCCAGCCATCTGTCTATGACGTTTTTTCATGTGGGATGTTTTCTTTTTTGGTACGGCTCGGAGTACAGAGTCCCAGACATCGGACAGGAGCCCCGGTATATTCAATGACAATGTGGCGGCTTTAAGAAGAGTGCGAGAAAAATTGGGGGATGTCTGCCTGGAAGTCTGCCAGATTCGAGACCATCGTCCTCCGACGGAAGACATCGTTTCGGAGGCCATGAAGATACGCGGCAGAATCTGCGAGGAAGAGGTAAATGAAAGCGATCGCAGTGCCATGATGCCCAAGTCTGGGAGTAGATCTGCTGAAATGAAGGTAACTGAAGGGAATTGGGAGTATCTGATATCAAAAAATTATGCCGCTGGAAAGTGAAGCTACCCACCGACATTGCTGACTTTGGTCCGGAGATTGGCCTAATCCCGAAGCAGACTAGTGGCCCCCTGAGAGCGCAACAACAATTAAAGGGGCCCATACCGGTGATGGTCTGCATCTCTCCATCTCTAGTCAAACTAGCCACCTGGGGTAGAAAGCTCATCTTTCTAGTAGTAGACCTCTTTGGTAGTCTAAATCGTGTTTGATCTTCCAGTCGTCACACTCACCTCACCCCTATTGATCCCGTCCGCTGCTCATTGAAGAGAACCCCAGGTAACTCGTTCTCTCCACCATGGCTACCACTACTACCTCGAATTCGACCACCCCGGCTACTGTTTTCCCTCGCAGCCATGTCGGTTTCGACAGCATCACCTCCCAGATTGAAAGGAAACTCCTCAAACGTGGCTTCCAGTTTAACGTGATGTGTGTTGGTAGGAGCTCCCTGACCTACTTCTCTATAGAAAACCATTGACCTCAAACTGACTGTTGAGAAAGGCCAGACGGGTCTTGGAAAGTCTACTTTGATTAACACTATCTTTGCTTCCCACTTGATTGACTCGAAGGGTCGTCTGACCCCTAATGAACCTGTGCGCTCGACCACGGAAATTCAGACCGTCTCCCACAGTAAGTCAACGTCGCCCATTTATACGGAAGGTACCCCGTTAATATTCGGCAACTAGTAATTGAGGAAAACGGCGTACGTCTCAGGCTGAACATTGTTGACACCCCTGGATACGGGGATCAAGTTAATAATGACAGATGGTATATGACGTTCCTCTCATGTTCGCGTTAGTTAAGCTAATCTTTTACTAGCTGGGACCCTATTGTCAAATACATCAAGGATCAACACTCCGCGTACCTTCGAAAGGAGCTTACCGCTCAGCGTGACCGTTATATTCAAGATACCCGTATTCACTGCTGCTTGTTCTTCATTCAACCATCCGGCCATGCGTAAGATCCGAAGCCTCTGGGATTGGCGAGATATGGCCGAGCTGACTATACTCTAGGCTCAAGCCCATTGACATTGTCGTTTTAAAGAAGTTATCTGATGTCGTCAATGTTGTTCCTGTAATTGCCAAGGCCGATTCACTTACTCTCGAGGAACGTCAGGCGTTCAAGGAAAGAATCAAGGAGGAGTTTGCTTTTCACAACCTGAAGATGTACCCGTATGATAACGACGAGCTCGATGACGAGGAGCGCGCGGTCAATGTTCAAATCAAGGTCTGCACCTCTCTAATACGTGTACTCAATCTGCCTCTGATACATAAGCAGGACATCATTCCATTTGCCGTGGTTGGTAGTGAGAGAACTATAGTTGTCAATGGTCAACAGGTTCGCGGCCGACAGAACCGCTGGGGTGTTATCAATGTGGAGGATGAGAATCACTGCGAATTTGTATACCTGAGAAACTTCCTCACTCGCACCCATCTCCAGGACCTCATTGAGACAACAAGCCAGATCCACTATGAGACCTTCCGTGCTAAGCAGCTTCTTGCTCTGAAGGAGAGCAGTGCAGCGGGAGGTCACAGTGGTGGCAGCCGGCCCATCAGTCCCTCGGCCGACAGGGAGCTCAGCCGCAACTCTCAGCGGATGACCATGAATGGCTATTAACGGCGCACGAGAGCGTCAAGGATAAATCTCAATGCTCCATGGTGCAAGCCGTCCATGCCAGCTGTTTACATACATACATAGGTGCACACGCAGACAACTTAGGAGCAGTGTCGAGCATCCCTTCACCTTTCCTTTTACTTCATACATAACTTTACTTTTATACCAGCATGTTCTTACAGATATCCTTTTAACTTCTGATTAGCTCTTGGCTTACTTCGTTGCTTATTTTGCTATCTCCCAGCACGGGAAGCGAGTGTCTTTATTCCGTTTTCTACGATTGAGATTGTTATTGCGGATCAGAAAGCGGCTAGCAATGATAGCGTTAGCATCATTTTTATTGCCTCATGTACTTAAATTTCTTAATCATCACCCCACGAGGGAAATACAGCTGATACAACCCAAAAGTGCTGCTGAATAATGCATTATAAACAATAGGATCAATCACCGTCCATGACGTTGCCAATCCTGCAATATCTTGTCAATCATGACATACCTTGCACAGAACAGATTTTTATGCCATAAATTAGTTGATTATTGCTAGGCGCCAAATTTACCGTTGTCGACAATCCAGTCCCTCAACTCAACATAAGCTTTTTCCACATCATCATTGACAACTAGCTTGTCATGTGCGCCAGGCTCCTTGGCATACTCGAGTTCATTTTTGGCCTGTGCTAAGCGTTTACTGTTGAAGTTGCGGTCAATACCTTCTCGCATATAACAGAAGAGATGCGACCCTTTCGATATAACTCACCTCAAGCTCTCTTCGGACTCAGTACCTCTACCTCGCAATCTCCGTTCTAGTTCTTCAACCGACGGCGGTGCGAGAAACATAAAGCGAGCGTTCAGGTCGGTACGCTTCACTTGCTTCACGCCCTGTTCAATTAAGGCCATCAGTACGGCTTTCTCGGCCTAGTGTTCATCCCCCGTGAAGCTTATGTGTTTTGAGGTCCGTGGAAACATATGGATTCAATTACCTCCATCTCAATGTCGAGGATACAAATCCTACCCCTCTCTGCAATATCTTTCACGGCCTGGACACTGGTACCATAGTGGTTCCCTCCAAACTGCGCATGTTCAATGAACCCATTTTTGCTCACAAGGTCCAGGAAGTCCGCTTTGGTTGTGAAATAATATTCGCGCCCATGCTGCTCGCCCGGCCGTGGAGCTCTGGTGGTGTCTGCACTCGATAAGCAATGGTTAGCTTACAGAAAAGCGAGGCATAGAATTGTTGTTGAAAAACTAAAAAGATTCAGGACGGACGCGAAACAGAAAACCCAAAGGTGTCGGGATATTCAGCAAACAGTCGCTTTAGTAGAGTTGATTTCCCAGCACCAGAGGGGCCCGATACCACTACTGGGCGAAACTTTTGCACTATATACAGGTCAGTATCCTAGTTGGTTCACGCGCGTCGAGTGGTATGCGCTAACGGGATTCGCACCAGCACTGGTTGACATTGTCAAAGCTGAGCGGCGAGTGAACAACTGGAAACGTCCACTATAAGAATGCAAGGTTAAACGAGACTTTAAAACGCCTTGCATAGACAGGAAAAGCTGGAAACGAAGCCTAGGAGACACCTCAAGAACTGCCGCATTTTTACTCAGATAAATTATGTAAAGGCGGTGACCACAGAACTACGGCAAACACCACAAACAGGAACCGACTGCTTTCATTCAGTTGCATGTAAATTCGGTCATAAACAAAAAAATTAGAAGTACAAGTTCTGATAAGGTCCTGCTTATCATATAGCTCACGGAGGACTATACTAACAAGCCCTTGACACAGTATATGTGAGCAGCAACGGATGTGTGTCGGCTGTCTTCTAGATACCTACAGCTTTCAAGGCTTTGGTTGTGTATATTCCTGCGCAGCCTGAGATTCCTGCTCGAGAAAGTTGGACCACAGCTCCGCCAGCGACTCCTTGTTTGAGTTCCCATTATCTAAGAATTCAGTAGCCAGCGTTGGGGTGCTAGGGGTATGATGGATAGGTGTACTTGGAACTCTAAGCTTGTTAGAGGTACTTGAGGTTCCTGGGCGTGCTAGACCGGCCTGTTCACGCTGTTCTGATGCCGATTTGTCAACTCTCGGCTCCGAGGGAGGAGAAATAAAAATTAACATCACATACCATCTGTCCAACCTAGAAGAGCTGCAATAAGTTGCAATATCTGAAATTTTTTTGGGTCTGACCGATCAAGAGTAAGAAAATGCAGAAAGTGGTTTGTAACAATATGCCTAACAGGGATCGTCAGCAGATGCCAAAAAAGCTACTGAGGAGCTTCTCTGGTATGGTGAGTCTCGACGTGCCTGTCAACATTGTCCTCGGGCTTCCCTTTCTTGAGAAACCTCAAGGCCTTAGTCAAGTGATCGTTCAGCGTCACCGCCTCGTGTCTGAGTTTGCCAATGAGGAGGTTCTTTTCCTTTACTTCTTTCTCAAACGGCCTCACTCGCTCCAGTTCTTTCTGAGCACTTCGGAGAACTGTATCAGCATCCAACGCCTTTTTCTCTGCAGAATGAAGAGCCTGTTTTAGCTCTTCAAGTTGAGCGTTCGAGCTCTCCACGAGCTCACGAAGTTCTTTTCTGCGAGCTGGGATAGGTTAAACCTTTCATTCATGACAATTTATATGTAAGGTTTTACCTACCTGTCTGGATTTCCTGCAGGGCTCGCTGTAACCCGTCCATAGCGGCTAACTGAGAATCGCGCTCATTGGATGTTCTTTCATAGGCATCTTTGAGGCTAGCAAGCTGCTCCTCAAGGTCTACGACTTTCTCGCCTAGGGTTTCCCTGATAGACCGCTCTTCCATAGCAAGAACTTCCCAATTGTGCATGGCCTCCTTAGCTTGCTCGAATTCGGATTGAAGATATGATTGTTGCTCAAGTAGTTCCTCCTTCTCCTTCAGCCAGTTCTGCTGTGACAGGTTCGTCCGGTCCCGTAATGTTGAGATCTCGTTCGACTTGTGTTCATTCGCTTCCGAGAGCTCTGCCAGCTCAGAGCACTTCACCTGAAAATTCTCTTTCAACGCTGAGTTCTGTTCTTCCAGCTCCTCTATTTTCAATCTAGCTTGAGCAAGTTCCTCCTATCAAAAAGTTAGCTATAGAGCAACGGTTCGGGTTTAATGTGATCGGACGCACAGCATCTTCCTTGAGTCTTTCACCTAGCTGCGACTTGATCGTATTGACGCGCTCCAATAGCTTCTGGAACTGTGATTCTGCGTGTTCCTTTTTGCCCTCGGCATCATTCAGTTTGTACTGTAGAGCTTCCATGCCCGCTCGATGCTTAGATTGTATTTCTTCTAAAGACCTCCGCATGTCCGTCACCTCAGCACGTAGTGAGTCCCGATCCCGTACAAGAGCGTCGAACCGTTCTTTCGATTGGAGTGCATCGGGGGGTGATTTGGCCATACTGCGAAAGTCCTCCTTTTCTCCATATAGGGACACTGCTTGTCGCTGGTTACTGGAGTCATTTTTTTTACCATCATTGGAGGCGCTCCCATCTTCACTCATGTGGGTCTGATTCTCCGTAACTGTCTCCTCGGTCGACTTGGGCATGACCTGGTCTCTATTATCAGTAATCGCAGTGCAGATTAATTAGGCGTAAGAACACCCACACTTGAGTTAAGCAAGTCGGATGATCCCTCCTCCCATGGCTTTGCAGAAGTGTCCTGCTGCTTTTCAACATCCTTGTTATTGCCTTCCCCGTTCTTTGCAGAGCCCTTGTTCTTCCTCTTGTTTCTCGGGTTGCTGTCTGCTCAAGGGTGATTTGTAAGAACAGCACTACGAAGAGAGTATGCGAGCTGCTCGTTGTCAAATGCGTACCTTCGTGCATATTTTTTTTTTCTCTTTTTTTAAATAGAATTTTCGGGATATGTTATGTCTCTTAAGTCGAAGATGGAGGCCACTCGGGCGTGGTTACGAGATCAAGACCATAGCTGTCAACATCCTTTAGCGCGGCCGCAGTTATTCGCTAACTCCCGAACCTCCCGCTTATTTATGTACATACAACAACATGCTACTACGAAGTACCTCAAATACATTGAGCTGCGAAAGCACCTGACTTAGCGGAAGCAAGAAAGTGTCTTCCAATATCTATGTTACTATTTTGTGGTATGAATTCGAGTTTGGGTCATTGGGTTCAAGTAATTTCCAATTTTCCCATTAGCTATTTGCATCTAAGCACCACCACGTAGTAGCTTCCAAGACCAAAGGTTAGACACAGAACAGAAAAAACTTACCATAAAGGATATTATTGAACCATTCATGGCCAACAGGATCGCTAATAAATCAAAAGGATATATACAACTGAAAAAAAATAAAATAAAATAAAATAAGCAGTGCTTGCTTTGGTTTCCGATGAGAAACCAGGTAGAACTGGTGATCAAAGTGAGGATACTCTCAGGCGTTCAGTACTATGCCTAAACCGATGTGGAAGTGGAAATATTGGTTTGATAAATCCACAAAACGGTTTTCCACGGAAACTGGATTTTTGTGATCACATGAAGTCATCAAGGAAGTCAGGATCCCGATCTTGATTGCTGCTTGCCTGGATGTTTTCCTCGCTCATCAGATCATCGTAGGCATGCTCCTTATGCCACTTCAACTGTTCCCTTTCCCTCTTTTCTTGTTTTTCTCTTGCTCGCTGCTCTTCTCTGGTCTTCCTTTCCTCTCTCTGCTTCTTTTTCAAAGACTCCTCTTTCTCTGCCATGAGATCAGGAAATTTTTCCACACGGGTTTTATTAAGCCGGTTGACTATAACATTTTCCCTTTCTCGTACGAAAACTTTGCGCACCAACTTGGGATTGTGAAATGAGACTTGGCCAGTAGCCATAGAACCATCTTTCATCAAGTTCGACCATGGTGTATAGATGACCGTGATGTTGTCTTTTTTATTCCCTGACCCGTAAGTTAGCTCACTACGTATTGGTAGAAGCACAATGCATGAATTATGAATGGAGAGATGGTTCACCCTCAATTGAATTCGCCTTTGTAAGCTGTGCGCAGTCTTCCAGAAGGGGTTGTGGGATATTGTCCCATGATTCACCATCACGGAGACGGAGATAGACATGTGCACTGGACAGGTTATCAACATGAAACTGGTCACAAAGTTAGACCGCGCTCAGGGGGGCTTTTCTGTGTAGATGTGATGATAACGAACCCTGTATCATCAAGACCAGCGACTGTTAGCACGCAATGCCACAAAGAGGGTCGAAAAACTGTGATATTACCAAACATCCTTCTCTAAACCATATTTTATAAGATTCTCATCTAGTTTCAATTGTTGTCAGACTTGTGCCATTTCCTTGAGCTTGAAATATAGCGGTCATACTCTCAAATTTGTCTTTCCCGACATAGATAAAAGCGGATGGCTCAACCACATTCGATGTAAAGTAGTATACCATATTGCTGCGATTATCTCTCCTAAGGGATCCTCAGTCAGGTGACAATAATCGAGAAATATTCAGATCCAATTGTCAAATTGTGAATACAGGAGGGTGTATTGGAAAGTGGGGTGTAGATTTTCTTCTAGTTGATTTTGTGGGGAACTTCTTATGAATGTAGTTATACATATATAGATTAGTCATTTATTCTTGGTGTATTACGACTTTTGGTTGGGAACGCGTATCCATGTACTCCGTACAAGGTTATGATAAAATAACACCCACGCGCATGTGCACGTGAGAGCTACTGGGCTTATGGGATTCTCTATATTATCCCTTAGTATAAAACACCCCCAATATATGTGTTAAAGTTCTATACAGCATCGCAAAACTGAAGTAGCCATTCTCGACTGAGAAAGAGAGAGAGGGGATGTGGATATGTAGTATTATATTTACATAACCCACTATAGGTCATGAGCAAGCTTGGAAATCAGTCGTGATAGATCACGTGCTCTAGTTTATATAGTGGCTATAAGTTGTTTCCCACATGTATATTTGTATGTGTATCATATATGTGAAACGAGACAGTAGCGGAGTAGAGGCAATCTTCCACTGGGCCAGCTCAATTGCTACGTAGGCAATTTTACCATGTCATATACCTCAAAGGGACCTCGGAATTGAGGACGCTTGTAAATATCGAGCCATGTCTGTAGTTTCAAGCTAGAACCCGAATCCGACTGGCTTCAAGTGGCTGTCCCACTTGCAACTGAGAGCAGGCATTATATCTGCAAGCCTGCAGAATCATAGGCCAAATAAACAGTTATGATAAAAAGCAAACACTTTTTTGCCTATTTCCTTATGATTGCAGCGATATAAATAGGATGAGACGCCGTATATGTTGTTGTACACCGCAGTAATTACACAACACAGACATGTCAACAGGCAGCTATTTGTCATATTCTCATTCGATTAAGTCTGAAATGTTGGACTCAGGTAGACTACTTCGGAGCAGAGTGTCTGTTACCAGAAATATGCCGCTATCAAACATTCTGGCATTGGTGTTACGGCGCTGCGAGTCACTTAACAGCCTTCCACTGACTACCAAGTACTTAAAGGCGTCACGGAATATCCACCTAGACCCCACTTTTCTCATACACACGGGTAAGCCGTCTGTCTAAAATGTGAGAGAAAGAAAGGAGGACCGCACATGCACACATGCACACACACACACACAGAGAGAGAGAGAGAGAGAGAGAGAGAAAGAGGGAGGGGGGAAGGCCAGATTCAAGCTCTTGCTGCCATATATCGACCATGCGTTATGTAGTTAACCTAAACAACCATTATCTTGATATAACTTGTTCTGTTATAGAAAGGAGCAACTGTAATTGCCAAATATAGAGGAAGTGCAACTTCCTACTATTATCTGTCCCATGCAAGCCCCGGTTGTCCTCAGGTGTGGTCACAGCTGAAGACCATAAATGCATAACTAATTAGTTTGTAACCACTAATCGAGAGGCACCTTAGCAGACCATTGTGCTGTACTACTTAAAGTCCCGTTAAACCCTACTGTGGAGTCCGAATCAGATCGTTTCCCAACAAGAGGAGAAACCGTTACGCCAAGAATTAAGTACTAGCACTATAACGGGTGAGCCCGTACAAAACCCCACCTACCACATGGCTCTTCGGAACAGGTCTCTCTCAGATAAAACCAGGTAAAAGTTAAAGAGGAAGGGGTAATTAAAAAGTGAGAAAGAGAGAAAGAGTATATATATGTGTGTGTGTGTGTGTGTGTGAAAGAAGGAGATGGAGGAATAAAGTAAGACACTTCCACAGCAAGCATTTATTCTTGTAATCTACTCAGCATCTCCTTTTGCAAAATCTCGACAAAAGTGATCTTTGAACAGCCTTGGTATAGATGTATTTGCAAATATCCTACCACGACCCTGATGTGGTCTATTTTGGCTTGAGATAGATAGGAAAGGAAGAGGGTTAAAGACAAATTAAGAACAAATACAGGGTAGATTATTTCACAACTGTTCTCTGCAATGCCAGCAAAGTAGCTGTATTCATCTTTGTCACTCGTAGGAAATGCGATCCACACCCTTGTGCTCCACCTAGTGTGTTAAATTGAAAAGGCTCGGGGCTTTCCAAAAAGTGAATTTTCTACCTTTCTTTTTTCTTTTTTCTTTTTTTTTGGGGGGGGGGTTGTAGGGAGGGGCGGTTGATGGAATATTTCCCCTTTGCCTCCCCCCATGGTAGTTAGTAACTGGGCTGTTTCTGTGTCGATTTCTACTTATTTTTTATTCTTTTATTTATTTTATTTTATTTTATTTTATTTTTTGCACTTTTTTTTAAGGAGCCTTCTCCTATGAAACTCTTTACGGATAACAACACCAAACAGCCCATCACAGGAACAAAAACTCCAAATGGCCAATTCTACTCCTCCTTTAATGCGACCAAACGTTCTACAATCTTTGGAACGAGCCAGGAACTGTGAAGAGAATGATAACGATCGCGTCATCCTTGATAGTGCCGTCACGGAGCTGTGGCGAAGGGTACAGAGCGAGCCGGACACTTACGTGTTTACCCCAGATGAATTCGCTCTCTTCAACTATTTTATCGCCCGTTTTCAGGGTTCGCTTGTCACTCGAGGAGCAGTGGCGCGATTTTGGAACAATTATCGAGGAAACAGCTCGGGTCTGGACTGAAGTGACATGTCAATACCTTCGGCACAGCTCCGACTCAACTACATGTGGTAGCCCAAAACAAGTCCAGTTCGCAAAAAAAAAGCAGGTTGTTTCGTATATCAGGGTCAAGCAAAGATGCAGCCGTCAGAGTGACATGATAGATTTTCTGTATCTTTTCCTTTTCCTATTCTGGTTGGAGGACCAATGATACCCGCTCCTGGTTACGATTTGACCGCGCATAGAGAGAGGCATGCGATTACTTTGGGAGTCATAAAAATAGCGGAGATCGACGTATTATTCTAAGGGAATCGTTGCATCTTGAGTTCCCCGGATTGGACAGGTTCTGGCGGTACCTGTCGATTGCGCTTAAAGATAGGTTACGGATCTACTCCGTAAATCCGGTATGAATCGATTAATAGATAACCGAGCGGCTAAAAGGTTGATACCTAGCCATTTATTGCCTGCATCGGGGGTGGTTGGGCCATAGTACCTTCCTCATCGCTCTTTTGCCGTTTGTTTTCTTCTTTGACTTTCCCTCTTATTGCGACCCCGCTGTCTCAGTCAATCGACAGGCTCGCAACTCCAACCTAATGTCTAACTGGCTGAGCTACATATGGCGAAAGCCAAATCTTTATACATTTGTTTTGAGTGAGGTACACCGTGTCTCGGCACCATATTAAATCCCCCCTTTCTTTTTACACCACCAGTGTTCAACCATTCTAATAACCATCGATACTTTACAGCCATGCTCCCCATCTTGATTATCTCTAGCACGGAAAGGTATACATATGTGTACATTCGTCCTAAGTAGGATAAAAATTATGTTATCTGTGGCACCTTGAACCATATGTTTCTTTTAAAAATAAATGCACTCAATTTGATTGTTAAAATAGACTGTAGGAAATGTCCTAGAGTGCAGGGGATTTTCTGGTGCCAGTCGATCCCTATCCATACAAATATCAAAAGTCTACATGTAGCTCGAGAGGTAGGGTTTGCGTGGTTACAGGGATATGAGACAGGGTTAAAACATGAAGGACCCTGTTAGGGTCTGTTGGAACATAGAAATACTCTCCATGTAACCCATTAAAGAGGGCTTATTTCTACACGGTCACACCTTGTTGGGGAAGTCACCAAACCTTTGATCTAATACGCACTCTAAGTATCTGTATAGTTATAGTCATGCAATTATGTAAGTATACACACAGAGTTCTTAATGGCACTGAAATCAATCCCCGTGATCTTATTCAACTAGTTCTTTTCCTAACGGAAACTAAGTGCGTAAAACGTAGACAAAAGAGCAAAGTAGCTTCCGGACATGTAAAATATGACCAAGTGTACGAAGCACAGACAGCAATACACGATATATCAGCCAATTAAATCTATTTACAGGGTTCCACTATACTACTATCTACTAATTATGATACCTTCATATACGCAGTACATAGTAAATATTCGGATTATCGACTAGTAGTCTGATCCCGAAGATATAGATTTTCCTCTTTCATAATTTAATCCTGCGGTATTTTACTGCTTTAAAGGACCTTTGTCTTCAGATACTGTGGCCCTAAGCTTGGGACTATAGTAGCGCTGGATATCTACTACTACTAGCTATTTGGAGCTGTATTTCCCTGGGTCATCGAATATGGCTGTTATGACCTAACCAGAAGGTATCTCCTAGTGTGAGCTGCATTCCGTAGCTTTTTCAATTGACTGGGCTGTACGGAGACTTGGGGGTTACTCAATCTACCGTTCTATTTCTGGACCTTAGACTAGAACTCCGTATCATGAATAAATGTACATACTATATACAACTACATACATAAATGCTACAGGTACACTGGTGCCCTGTATTGAGGTCCCTAGGGCGTCTAGACGTTTACAATCCGTTCTTGGTGTTCAGTCAGCCAGACTATATCCTCGATCACGTACTCTTATATAAGTGTCTGATAGCGAGTCGATAGAGATACCCTAATAGCAGAAAACCTGTTCGGGCCAAACCAGGGAGGATGGAATCTCAAAGATTAGGCCAAATAGAAAAAGAGAACGATTGATGTGGGGATCCTTGTTTCGCTCAGTCTACTCGACGTTCTCGGTATATGCAAACCACTCGTAGCAAAACCGCATCAGAGGCGTGAGGATGCGAGACAGAGGGTATATACCTCAGTCTTAGTGCCAGTATGGTATCCCAAATCAGCTATGCGGATGAAACTGGCCGGTGACAATTGATACGCTTGGACTGACCCTTCGAGGCAACCTGAGAGTATAGAATATGGAAGAGAGGACGACAGAAAACTCGACTATGTATGTGTAATGTCCACGAGGACTTTCATTATATTAGAGCCCATCAGCATATGGCTACCAAACGAAGAGCTTTAGAGAGAGCATGCGAAAACTCGGCTACTATTTCGGGGTGTATATCTCTCGGAGGATTGTTCTGCATGGTCAACCCATGGCGTGACGACGTGAAACGCGCATAGACAGATCTGAAATGCACATTAAAGATAACCATTGTACATATTCTTCCATTATGACGGCTTTATTATACACTTATACACACCCGCTCTATATATCATGATATTCTATTTGTTTGCAACGGATTCTGAACTTATCAAGCGACTTGATGCTTCAGAAGCCACAGAAGTCTCGGGGTGGAGATCACTATTGAGCACATCTGCGGGGGGATCTGAGAGATTGGTTAATATTATGAAGCCCATTCCCTCAGGGGTATCTTCTTTACGTACCAGTCCTAGAGGACGCTTGGTGCTCCGCAGAATCCACCTGCTTCACTTTGCCCGCCTCGACCTGAGCCCTGGACAATCCAAGGAAGCTCTTGGGAAGCCCCATTGATGCAAGGAAGCCAACACTCTCTTTCCACTCGAGGTCTTTTCTTTTGTTATCCCAACTGAGTTCCTCGCTCATCAAATCAATGATACTGGGAAGGGCTTCAAGTGCTGCCTCAGCATTGAGAAATGCCAATCGAGTTCTGCGGGCAATGACATCAACGGCAGTTTGAGCATATTCATGGCGAACAGCATAGCGAACCTCGCCATCGATAAAGGGGTATAATGTAGATATGCGTTGGCCGCGAACAGGAAAGCGGGCGTTCGTCGGTGAAGACAAAGCTGCCACCTGCCAAGCGCGATCACCATATGATTGTGTTAGATGCTGGGCCACATCAGTCTCAAGACCAAAATGTTGGATGAGGTTGATGAATAGTGTTTTAGAATAACCGTGGGCTCCAATCAAGCGAACCTGGTGTGTCTGACAAGACCCGTCAAGGACGGCACCATCAGCCACCAAGCCGCTGCCTCCAACACCACTGATATCTGGAACCTGGGAGACATGCCGAGGCTTAAGATTGAAAACACCAATCGCCTCGTCTACAGCTTCTTCTGCCATTTGACGGTAAGTCGTCCATTTCCCTCCCGCACATGTCAACAGCCCGGACGAAGAAACAGTAATAAGATGGTTGCGAACCAAAGCTTCGGAGCTCTTCACTTTAGGATCACGAACCAAAGGTCGAATACCAGACCATGCTGCCAGCACATCGCTCCGCTCAACGTTGATATCAGGGGCTATGTAGCCACGGACTTCTGATAGAATCCAGTTGATGTCCTTTTCAGACGGCTCGGGTTGAGTCGTGATTTCGGTAGGTTGATCAGTAGTCCCAGCAATTGTGTTACCCTGCCATGGAAGGAAGAAGATAACACGGCCATCGGACGTGGATGGGTCAATGAGACCCATATTCGAAGGACTATAATATCCAGGTAATATAACATGAACCCCAGAACTAGGTGCAACAATTTCTTTCACGTCAGGTTCGTCCATCTTTCTGATGGAGTCAGTGAAGGGACCGGTCGCATTGATAATGCCTTTGGCCCGTATAGTGAATTCTCCTTCCTCTTGTCCATTCTTTCCTGGTATGATATCTTTCACTCGTGCCCCGTTCAGCTTGCCCGAGGCATCTTTGGTGAGGCCAGTTACCTGCATGTGATTCACAACAGTGCTTCCATACAATGCAGCTGTCATCGCAAGAGACACGTTCATTCGAGAGTCGTTGTGAGCGCCATCTGTATATGCTATCAGTAATGCTAAAGTGTTGATAAATTCAGCAGGCAGCATTCTTAATGAAGTCCATACCGTAGTAAACCATGGCACCAATCATATTATCTTTTCTCAACATAGGGAAGGCATCAATAGCCTTGCTTTTAGGCAGAAAATAGGAGCTCTCAATTCCCTCTGACCCAGCCAAGTAGTCATAAAACTTGGTACCAGCCCAGAAATAGGGAGCTTGCCACCACTTCTGAACGGGAACCATGATAGGAAGCCAGCTGGAGAGGTGAGGAGCAGTGTTCAAAAAGTATTTGCGCTCCCTTAAGGCTTCCTTGACAAGTTTGTACCTATGTGGGAAGTCAGTTTCCATCCTATAGCATGTCTCACTTTTTAAAATTATTCATAAAGAAAACTGACTGGTTGTAATCTAGTTCCCATACAGCCTTTTCCAGGTAGCGGACGCCGCCGTGGACCAGTTTCGTGCTCTTACTACTTGTCCCAGAACTGAAGTCGTCTCTTTCGACAACCGCCACCTTTAAACCTCGTGTCGCTGCGTCTAAGGCGATACCTGACCCAGTGGCGCCAGCACCGATAACAAGGAGGTCATACACATCTGAATCATCACCACTGGAACTGCGCTTCAAATCCTGGATCTGTTCCAGGCGCGACTTAATTGAGGGAAAGCTCGGAGGAACAAGTTTTCCCTCGTGATAGCCAGGCGGTGGTACGGCGGGAGCTTCCGAGCCAGGGATGTTGCGGGGACGGTAGGAGATGTACAGAACACCAGCTCCTGCAGCCGCTGCAGCCGAAGTATAAAGCAAAGGCCGCAAGAGTCTGCGGGAATGACGAGCAGCCATTATGTCAAGGGATAAACTATGGCACAGAGGTCCGGCGAGATAGGTGAGGCCACGAAGTTTCCCAGTAAATCAACCCCAGAAGTGCAGGAAACAAGCGTTAACAGAAACTGTATACAGAGCACGTATTTGCGCAAACCTTTCTCTGTTCTTAACGTGAGTTAATGGTCTGACAAGGCTCGAAATACCGAGCGTGGAAGAAGTTTTTTCGACAATGACTCGGAAATGGTATTTACGTACCTATACTGCTCGGGGAGTCAAATGGTTGTGAAAACAGAGTGAGCAGGCAACGAAAGAATTGAAGAAGTAGGGGGTTGGAGTTCGAAGGAAAGGAGACTGGATGGATCGCTTAGAATGGGAGGATGGGAAGAGAGAGCCCAAATAACTAGAGCGTCGGAGACTGTGTAATTGGGGAATGCGCGGTCCCGAGATGACGGACCGGGTAACCTTCCAGTCTTTCTCGTCTTCGTCATGCGTCATGGGCATTTCCTTACAAGAAAATCCGGGAATGGTTGGAGGCAGGACGGGGGCGGGTCCATATGACGGCAACACGGCGCAAATCAGATTGTCCCACCAATGAAAAGCTCGGCAGCACCGGGGCCTGGGTGGGACTCACTAGTACGTGATATAGGTGTCGTTCCCGAACTCCGTGCCTCCATGTGACCAGCAAAGTTTTGTGGCCATTACCATTCCTGTACTTAGTACACAACAGCTTCGGGCGGTCCAGGCCCTCGAGCCCAGAATGATCCCCAGCACATGACCCCTTGTTGCATAGACTCTGGATAATAGAGATCGACTAGCGGCAGACTGGATATCACGCGATTATTGCTGGGGCAGTAAATGACAAACCCATTATCATGCCTATTTACCAAGTATGTCGATAATTGGCAAGAAGCTTGATCCCCAGTACGGGACTAGTGGCGCATGTTCTATATATAGTGAAAGTTGTGCTCGCGATCGGTACATAAAGGGCTCATATCATATAAAAAGGAAAAAAATTCGAAAGAAGAAAAAGGAAAATTCCATAATCCCCTGGACAAGGCTGGGGCCGGGCAGAGCATTACGTGGTAGTTACTAGGTAAGTAGCAGTATGTTGATTGGGAAGTTTGGCTTTATCAATTTCCAAGGCCTTGGCTACGGAGATTTATCCACTTATCCAGCCAGACCCTGACAGTGGAGTATCTCCCAGCTATTACTCGTTACTACCCATATGCACCAGTCATCGATAGTGTCCGCTGCAATGGTGTTATCGCCAATTATCTGTAAAGTATGGATACATTCACAATAGTATGATATTGATATCGTCGAGGGTGAACATCGGTAAAAAAAAAAAAGAAAAATAACCACGGAGAGAGATCATCGCGATCACCTCCAGCGCATTCAATTCACTCTAGGGCTTGTAAACTTATTAAGCTATCAGACTAATTGCGGCAGGAACATCACTGCCCACATCATCTTTTGCCATAGTCGGGTTTATACATACCTAGCAAACCTCATAGAGGAAAGGATGTATGAACACATGCACTAACTAATTGTGCAAAACTAGGCCATGTGGGTTCAATATGTGTCATTATCTTGGCCTCTAGTGCTCATCACTATAGATCCAGATCGATGCCTATCCACTAATCGCATTGCACAGACCTGTGCTACAACACAACATACATAGTCTCAGGAGGATATAAGGCCCCAAAATTGAGAACACAGATTAAGGTGTATGTTCACCGATTTTACGCACTTATATCTCTTATCCGGGAATTGGCTGTTCGCGGAAATGTTCCGGGTGCGGAATTCGCTCGGCTCTAGTAACAACAGATGCATCAATTCCGCGATGAACATCGCATCGTTCTATGCTATACCCGAAATACTTCCTCTATGTAGAAAACGTGGGGTAGAGTCGAGCTCATAGACCCTACTTTCCTATGTCTAAAAGAACGGAAAATTCCTCCATTGCGGCTTGCGAGGACTTTCTACATTTAAGGCCTCATGGACGTGTAGCATCCTCTGTCCCCGACTAACCACGACAATAGAAGCAAACTTCAGATAGTCCAGCATGGCCATAACAGCAACTCTGTCCTCCATACGCCAAAGCCTTATTCATACCCCTCTACAGTCAATAGCTATAGCAGCCCTTTTCACCGCTTGTCTTTACGTCGTTGTCAATGAATTCATCCGTGCTTCCTCTCGTGTTCCAGGATTCAAGGGGCCTCGTGGTCTACCTTTAATTGGGAACATCGCCCAAATTCGCAAGAACGCTGCTGAACAGTATCGCATATGGTCCAAGACCTACGGACCCGTTTATCAGATTCAGTTGGGGAATATTCCGGTAATTGTTGTGAACTCTGCCGTCTCTGCAAAAGCAATTTTCGGGCAGAATGCACAGGCCCTAAGTTCAAGGCCTGAGTTTTACACCTTCCATAAGGTATAGTTGGCCCGGTATTTACTTCTCAGCATGTGCACTATTGACAGATTTTATGACAGATCGTGTCCAACACTGCTGGCACAACCATCGGGACTTCCCCTTACAGTGATTCGCTGAAAAGACGTAGGAAGGGTGCCGCCTCAGCCCTTAACCGACCATCTGTGGATTCCTATGTCTCGCATCTGGATGCAGAGTCCAAAGCATTCGTGGTGGAACTTCTTAAGTATGGAGAGGGTGGGAACGTACCAGTGGATCCCATGGCGATGATCCAACGCCTTAGTCTGAGTTTGGCTTTGACACTCAACTGGGGTGTGCGTGTGGTCTCACAAGAAGAGGACTTGTTCAACGAAATCACTCACGTGGAGGAGGAAATAAGCAAATTCAGGAGCACCACAAGCAACCTGCAAGATTATATACCCCTCTTGCGGCTGAACCCCTTCAATACTAACTCGAAGAAAGCCAAGGAGATGAGAGATCGTCGAGATAAATACCTTAATGGACTCAACCGTGATCTAGACTACCGTATGGAGAAAGGAACCCATAAACCCTGTATCCAAGCCAATGTCATCCTTGATCAGGAAGCGAAGTTGAACTCAGAAGAACTTACCTCTATCAGCTTGACTATGCTCTCAGGAGGACTTGATACGGTTACTACGCTTGTGGCTTGGAGTATCGGTCTCCTTGCCAAGCGCCCAGACATCCAAGACAAAGCCGCAGAAGCGATTCTGAATATGTATGGCCCTAACCAACCAATGTGCGATGCTGCGGATGACCAGAAATGCGCATACGTTGCTGCGCTGGTAAGAGAGTGTCTAAGGTTCGTCATCCCTGGTAGCACGAGTTGAGTGGGTTAACTAAGAAACACCGTATAGGTACTTTACGGTCCTTCGTCTGGCTCTCCCTCGGACATCAATCAGAGATATTACCTACGATGGCAATATAATTCCTAAGGGAACGGTTTTCTTTTTAAATTCGTGGGCTTGTAACATGGGTATGTAATCTATTGTTATTCCTTTGATTTGACCTTTTATCATCTATTGAGGCCTCACCTAAATAACGCTATACCTTCCACAGATCCCGATACCTGGAGCGACCCTGAGGAGTTTAGGCCAGAGAGATGGCTTGAACAACCCGATGCACCTTTGTTCACCTACGGGCTAGGTTACCGCATGTGTGCAGGCTCACTCCTTGCTAACCGTGAACTATATTTAATCTTCATGCGCACCATTAGCAGCTTCAGGATTGAACCATATGACGAGATCGACTGGCATCCAGTCCGTGGCAATTCAGATCCCACAAGCCTAGTGGCAATCCCGAAGAAGTATAAGGTCAGGTTTATTCCTAGGGACAATAAAGTGCTTGAGAATGTTCTTGACTCGGCGTCTCCATTGAAGCATGTTATATGAGCGTGGTTTTTGCTGAACGGATGTTTTATGCTGATGTAGATCTTCCGTGGGGATGGAAAACAAGTTGCTTCTTTATCCATTTCCTTTCTTTTATTTTATATTCCGCCTGTTCTTCCAATTTTGAGCATATTATAAACCATCATTGACATTCTACTGTGCGTAATAACAGACGCAGTTCTGCTTTCCCCCCTTTATTTCACATGATAATCAAAGGCACGAGTCCTATGTTATAATATTTGTTGAAGACTTGCAATCAGCCTTGTAATCCTTATTTAACAGCTATCGGATAGTTATGTTTTACATTGCTAAGATATGCTCGGCAACCAAAGATATGAAGAGGCTATTCCCAACAGGTAAGGGAGCAAGGTAGCCTCTTGGTTCAATACGGAAGTGTTATACAGCTTCTGCGGACCGTATCCTTTAACTAGTCTCGCTCCACAGTTATGTGTTTGTGGTGTTTAGACAAAAAAGAGAACAAAGTGGCGCTCACGCGCAAACCGCATACACAAGGGAGATATATAGGAATGTAAGAACTATATTTTGTCTATTCGCCAGTAAGGTCTCGAAATAGGTTCAGATGTGGAAATTCACGAGTATGGTAACCATGGTGAAGCCTTATGAAGCTATTCGTCTCTTCAAGTCGCGAACTTGGTCAAAGCAGCTTGCATAGTCACGCAATTGATTTTGAACTCGGTCTGAGATCGTAGGGTGTTGTGATAAGTTGCTTTTGAGTGAGGAAAGAGACGTTTGAGAAGACGACGGCGAGATCATCCATGGTGAAGTAGAGGAATTATTAGATGATAAACTTGAGTTCCCAGTATGGCCCTGAACAGTACTAACTCGAGAGGCTTCGGTTGCAATTTCTGTTGTAGCCCTCTGAGTCCATTGTAGGTGGACCGACACAGGAGTACCAGTCACCACAGCCTCCTCCGTGAGATCTATCTCGGCCAGTCTACAGGATTGAGAACAGTAAGGTCCTCCCAATGTCTGTCTGTCACAAACTAGACAAAAGTCAAGAGAGCATCCCGTGGCCATTCTGGACTATATGACCTTGAAGAATCGAGGTGACAAGCGATTATAGAACAGTCTGAGGAGGAGGGGCATCAAGTCACGATAGTTGGACACACAGGTACCAATCGAACGCCGATCTTGGAAGTGGAGGGGTAACAGTGGCCTTCAGGTGCGAAGGCAACGATGGGAGAAGGGTGAGTTTAAGACAATGCAGTCATCTTAAATCACTCAGATACCGAATTCATCTTGGGTCGTTGTTAGGCGTTGGTTGATCCTATTGAGATTATGTAGGATGACTATGTAAGTGTAATGAATAGGGATTAGTGGAAGGACGGCCTAGAATAAAATAGAGGAATAAATGACAAAGAGTGGTGCTAGCAACTGTGACAAGTAGAAGGGTGAGCAGTTTAGCAAGGAAGATATTTATTAATATATATTTAGCACAAGCCGCCATCAGTGTTTGATCGTTTTAGCCATAACGCGCCATATAGTCTATTATTATACAAGTTACAAGGTGCTTGATTTTATTTACCGAGTCATACCTCTTGGTTCTACGCCCTGTGGAGAAGGAGGGCTGAGCTAAGATTAATCAATCTTAGTGGTACAGTTATCTATGCCCAGTACAAGTACAGTACTGAGTACACAAGGTGTATGCTTGGGTAGCAAGGGAGAAGAACCCGATCACAATAGAATGTAGATATTTCCTTTCTTTTTCTTAGGACTTCAACTTGATGTGTGCTAGGCAATCAAAGATCAAGGGAGGGGTTGTTGTTTCGTTTATACACAAGGTGATCAGGTCACTGCAGCAGTGGCGTGGGCAAAACATCCAGTGGTATCACTATTTCGTGAAGAAGAAACCCCTGGGCAGCTGTTCATTGAAAGAATGTCTAATTTGAAGGGATGGCCCGGAAGATTGGATGAGCAAGAGTGCATAAGATCAGTGATTGGAGCGACACACCTACTAATTTGTAAGGTGGAGAAACACACCATCCTCTCCAGCTGCCCTCCATACAAATGATAATATTCATGATCACGCGTTCTGCACTGGATTGGGGTTAATTGTGGGGAGTGGTTGACGGGTGATTAAATCTACGGAGTACAGAGTATGATAGGTAGATGCGACTAGCTGCCCCTAGACTGGGTATGGTCAAGAAAGTGGACGTAAACTACTCCGTAAGGCAGATTTAATAACTTATGTATCGTCCAAGTCGCTTATCCATATGATAAGGTAGGTCATTTCAACTTAACTTAGGATATGTGAAGTTTCAAAAATTCACCACTATACTCTGATTGTAAACGGCGGGCCAACGTCCTTCTTTGCTCTTACCCGGGTCCCATTCGAAAATATGTAGCGACATGGTGGTAAATGCAGCCACGTAAAAGAGCAGATTAGGTACATACTATTGCCACGTTGTATTTGAGTTGTGGGGATTCCTACGTTGTGGCTTCAGTGATACTCGATCAGTCTGCCTCTATCCTCTATACCATCAATACATAATATATTACGATGGCATCAGTGTGTCAACATTACCCTTATCCATAAAATTCAGCAACAAACACCCTGCGAGGTGTGATGCTGTTGAAGATTATAAGATAAAACGTTGCAGTTATACTCCGATGTAATGAGAAGTCTACACACTTAATAAAGGGTAACTGTTCTGTTACAGTGCCAGCTCGTATTAGTGTTACACTGCCAGGCATTTATATATTTCCTGCATTTTCATCTGTGGCATATGATTATCCTCTAGACTATAGAATTACACAGTCATGTGGCTGCAATTGTTACAATAGTTTGACACCTGCACAGTATACGGTAAGCCATCGCAGCCGCTCCGCCATGATTCAAATTAGGGTAACACAGGATAGCTTAAAATAAAGAACTTTCATTCTTCGTTTCCCAGGCTTCTATCTCCTTTGACTTGCCGGGGGTCAGGTGTGGTTTATCATTCAATAAGCTGTGCCTTAGGTACAAATAAACATATCTACTACATATATGATACAGGATACGACAAGGGGTCGGCTTCAAGTTACTCTGTACTCTCCTTAAGATATTTAGTTGCTGTTTCAATGCATGCAAGACAAAAAGCCTACTGTATAGCTTGAACTAGGACTCCAAAAGGATCCCTGCGAGAAGGATCATGATGCACTGTAGGGATGACTTTGACGGTCACTAGCTTGTTAAAAGGACACGCGAATCTTGTGTATCGGCCTCAGTCAGGAAAACCCTGGGTGGGATGTAGATCTGATCATTCTTATTCCCTGCAGAAACACATGAATATGCCCACAAAAGAGAAAGAAGGGAGGGCGATGGAGGGAGAGTTGGAACAAAAGAAGCTTCCTCACTGAACCGGGAGGAAGAAACCAAAACACGAACAACCTTCACATAGTAAATTGAAGAATCTCTGGGATATGCTTGTATAAAAGAATTGTAGCTGAAGGCCCAGTACAATCTTTAACAACTAATAGTTTTAGGCGGTTTTCAAGGGTCACAAAATGAAACTCACAATGTTAATTTGCTACTTTGACTAATTTTCCACTTCATAAGGCCCCAAATGCTCCCTAGTCTCCTTTACCTAGCATAGACAGGTCAAGGGAGATGCATATCGAGCTGTCTCATATTAGACAGACAATGATGTGCATGCTGGCTGAATTACACAAGAATTGCATACTCTGTCTTAGTGTATATGATCAGGTATATAGGAAGCAACTCGCTTAACCACAAAGCGGGCTAATTTTCTTTTCCAGCCAGAATGAAATACACAACGGTGCACCCGTCCATGCCGGTGTTCCAGAACAATAACAATTACAGTGCGTATGTTGCATTCCTGTTGGTTGAGTCACACTATAGTGAGTCCGACACTGCATTGAATTTATATAGCGAGCGCTCGCTATCAGTTTCGTTTGGCCTTGTGTCAAGGCGTTCACCATTTTGAGCGGCAATGCTAGAAGATGTATAACTCATAATGACCACTGCTGGTTTAACAGAAGCCGCGCATTACTCTCCCGCCATTGCTGCTTGATCTGCTGGAATTCGGACTAGAGTCGCAGGCATGGGAGAATCACCTGTTTTATCATCCTCAGACAAGGTGTTTGGATTTTGCGTTATCGGTCTTTGAACAGTTACAGCTTCTGCTGTTCAGGGAACCAAGGGGTCAGCAATGGCAACCAATGATACAGATTTTAGCGGTGCTAGCACAGGTGAAGAACAAGGTGGTGGGCTTACTGGAGGCCATGCTAATCGACCGCAGAACATTGTCCCAGTTAGCAAGAACGCATGCAACAGCTAGACTCGAGAAGACAACAAGCATTAGCATGAAGAGCACGTAGTTGACCAATCCACTGAATAGTATTCCCTTCGAGGAATCACAAGAGCTGTCTTCGATGCTAAAATGGCAGCATGTGCAAACCAAAGTTAACGAACCTTCTGTGCCATCCTTAAGCGTCCCTATCTTCTCTTCTAAGACTTGCATTTGCATTGCTAGTGCACAACTCATATCACGAAGTTGCTTCAGATTATCTAGCTCGGCCTTCTTCGACGCAATCCGGGCTGCCAGGGCTGACGATTGCTGCTGGGGTGCAGCATGATGAGTATTTGGCTGGCGAAAAGATGAGCCTGTAGAAGACATTGACGGAAGCATCGGTGTAGGCCGCGACATGTAGGTCATTTCAACAAGGGGGTTCGAGTTAAGAATTGGTAGAACGAAACACCTGGAAAATATTTTCTTATCTCTGGATCCAAAGCGAATGATAACTGTAGACTGTCAGAGACGTGAGGACTATGGAGTATGTAATAAGTGGTAAAGTCCGTCTATGCCTTCCTAAACAGCCAACCCACGTTACCCGCTAATCCTAGTCGGGACAAATATCAACAACTTAGTAGCACTCTGTTTACATGCTCTTTCAAGTAACCCACCCACAGGGAATCTTTACCAACCACCTAACGACCAGAACACGGTCTTCTTAATTCATCAATCTTCATCACGTTCCCCCGCAACTGACCTGGTCAGCGAAGGGAAGGCAAGGCAGACAGTGCATTCTGCATCGGCTTATGAAGCATGGCTCGCTTAAACGAATCAACAACCTCGACGGAATCCGTTGAAATCTGTGAGTTATATGCAACACTCTTGGGCCACTAGTGCCCGGAAAGCCACCGGATGTTAACCTCTTCAATGCCCTAGTGAAACGGCGATTCGTGCGCCAGAATCGCGAAATTGCCCGAGTGAATTCGATACAGTCCCTTCGAATCCGCAGCCTTGAGTCTGAAGTTTCGCATCTCCTTTCAGAAAATGTTTCCCTCAGGGAGCAAGTCATCAATCTTAGCCAAGAAATAGAGAGATTTGAGGCGGCCAAGTTGTTTCAGGATGGAGTCAACGACATCAAGGCGAGACTTGACAATAAGTTGATGGAGATAGGAGGCTTAGTAGCTGATTTGGGCGCATTACCGCGCAGATTCAACAAGTCAGCTGGCGGGATAACAGAAGTTGTATATCAGGAACGACCAGGCTTAGATTCAAGACATAACATAGCTGATCTTGAAGCTTATCGCGCACCCGAGCAAGACGGTAGGCTTCCGGTTATCCTGGAAGACAAATATTATCCACGAAAGACATTAGAGTAAGTGGGGCATGGCGTTTCTCACGGAGCAATAAGACCTTATACTGAAAGTCAGCAGACCGCAGGAAATGCAAGAACTGATGAACAACAATATGAACGTCGCGCCATCTTCGGGCCAAGACGAACCTTCGATATCCCAAATAGACAGCATGGCCGATAATCCATCCTCGACATTGTTTGAAGGAGTTACTAATACCCAAGAGTTTGACGGCTCCCCAAGTCCTAACGAGGTTCTTCTCCCCCCAACTCTCGAAACAAGAAAAAAGAGGAAGGCTGGATCCGGCAAAATACGCGAGGATATCTACGACATGAGCCCCCGAGATTTTCCTGCACGAAGAGAGTCAAATTTCTTGCTAAATCCAGGTTCCAAACGTAAATTCTCTGGTAGTGACGATGGCGAGTTTGCACCAGCACTCCCAGATGAAGATGATTTCCAATTCACTCGACCTACCCAGTTGCCACAGTTGACGCATGATCAATCACTACTGATACGCAGCGATCAGTCTCCAGTTAAGAGGCAGATCTCCCAGAAGGGAGGCTCTAAGAGTGATAGCCGACCTAAGCGGAAAGCTCTCGAGCCGAGTAAGCTGCAATTAATCGCTCTTCTATGAACAGTGCAGCTAACCTAAATACAGAGAGCGCAAACTTGTCTTCAATCGAACCCCAAGCTATTGGAGCCCGTGAACAAGACTGTAAGACCCTAGCAAGAACGAACAATGCGATCGACGAGAATGGACCGGTAGCCCCAGCCCATTTGCAGGAGGATATACGTGGTCAAAAAATAGTCCCGAACGAGAAGTCACATTGCAATGGTTCGGATAAGGCCAGGCAAGAAGAGGGTGGGAATGAGTATCTTCGAAATCACTCTCACGTGTCTGAAGACACATCACGCTCATCTTCGCCACCTGATCAAGTATCTCGAGTACAACACGAGCTTGAGACATCGATGTCCTTACCTAATACTTCATCTCGACCCACGAGGCGCCAGAGATCTGTCGTAAGCTACGCAGAACCTAATCTTAGGGATAAGATGAGACGTCCTACGGATGAGTTCATAGCAGCAGTCGGAGGCGACCATCATCCAAGGAGGACATCCGCTTCCAGTTATGTACGAACGACTTCAAACGATGAATTTGACGAGCGTAAAAGTGGCAAAATCAATGCAAGAAAAAAGCGAGACTCAGACACGGAAGGCAGTGACCCTAGCGCACTTCCGACGGCCTCTTCCGGCAACCTTCCTAGACAACCAGCGAACATGATGTCTCGGAAACAAAGGAAGGCTTCACTTGCAAGTAAAGAAGATGCACCACCTGTCAATGGTCCTACGAATGATATAAACGAAGCCCAGGCCTGTCGGATGGTAGGGGGCCGCGAGCTGAATGGGGTTTCAAGTGACCAATCTATGGCCAGGGTACAAACGGGAAGCACAGGGAAGCATGGATCACCGACTGCAATGGGCCCTAGTGACATGCCGATGGAGTTATACAAGAGTATACCTAGAGCAGTAGCAGTTACCAGCAGGCTGTCCCGACGGCACTCCTCAAACCCCAGATCGTCTAGGCGGGATAATCATTCCCCAGAACCCGAGATGAGTGTTTCAGGTACCGAGAAAGAAAGTATGACAGGGTCTAGAGCTTGTTTAGGAGGGTCTAATGATGCATCAGTTGGGAGTATCAGCGAACCGAGGGTATTTATGTATGCCACAGAAGCTCCTCCATCAGCCATGGGACTAGCAATAGATGCCAGGCAGATGAGGCGCGTGCCACGCGCTGCCAGGAGAAAAAGTATGATATTGTGATCTATTAATCATGTTCGGGGACAATCTGCATCTACATTGCCCCTGGATCGAAGTTTGTTAGACTATGAGATAGATAGATACCCCTTTCCGTGGTTAGGCTACTTCTGTATGAATCCACATCCTTTAAGGAACTCAATGACCACTTGGGCTCCTTCACTATTAGTTGGGGCAGAGCGCTACGAACAAGGACACTTGTCTCGGCCCCATCGCCTTTTCGTTGTCAACCAGCCGAGAAGACGGATCTCTTGTGAACGACTGCAATGGCTAACTCTACACAACGTATACTGACAAGATGCGAGAGCTGCTCCACCAGTTAAATTTTGCTGAGTATCGCAAGTTAGACCGACCCTTTGCCATAACCACGAAGGCTAGATCCTCTAGCGCCCTTTTGTCGTCTTAGGCATCTTCTCGTACGCATTGGGGCTTGGTCTCCTCCGCTTAAGCTTTGTGTTACCGTGATTTGGGCAACGCGTTAGCCGCCCTCTCTCCCTGTCATGTCCAGATTCTTGCGCATGGGAATGATTCTCGGTATTATGATGCGCCGACGAATGGCCCAGGCTGTTCCTAGGATTATCTATCTCATTATCGCTATCGGGGTCAGATGAATTAGAATCAGACTCTGACTCTGAACTACTTTCACCGACTGGACGAGCTTTATGGTAGATGCAGCATACTACGCGTCGATACCGATTCACCGCGTCAGTTAGCCTTGGATGACAAGGAAAGCACGATGCAGAAGGTCACGCCGTTGGTAGCGTAGCAGTACTCACCTTTAGAGCTCTTTTTCCCCATTCCTTCGTTATCTACCACATCCTCACTCCATCGTATATGCCGGTGCAAGCCTCTGCCCTCAGTGTTAGACTCGGCAGTTGGTTCGTTTTCTGCTCTTAGTCTGAGTGTGCCTGGAACTCGAACAGTTGGTGTATTGTTATGCTGTTGAGGCACCGATTCAACCTGGGATGTCCCACTTGGTGCTATTTGTCGGGATCTAGACATCGTGGGCAAGACTCATATGGTAGTAAAGAATACCTATGCTTAGAACAATTGCTTCAAGAAAAACTCCGATCGATAAAAGTCTAAGCCACTGCAAACTGATATGGCGCCGAGGCTAGGGCACTGTGCAAAGCTAGGCTAAACTTATTTAAATTTATCCCAACATCGTCGTTAAGACGTCCTTGATTGGTGGCTCACCGCCTACATTTGTTCATTTGTTCCAGATTGAAGATTGTCATGAGCAACAAAAAAAAATAAAAGAGCCTTAGGGTTGATACGTCGCATATGACCTTGAAGTTTGTGATGTGCAACTAGATCTACTTCATAAAGACTCGCTGAACGAATACATGCAGCGAAGGATTCTACAAACAATTTGGAAGGGCAATTTCGTCGCAATGGCATAAGCAATCACTCACCATTGAAGCGGCTCGATAAGTGAGCTGCACCTAACCGGCTAGAGATCCAATATTGATTGCATATAACAGTCAAATACTAGAACAGGAGTGAAGAAGTACGGTGCAGGTTATCACCTATGGCCAAGAGATGAAGAAAAAATGGGGGGAAGATAATACAAAACGCATCGGATCTGGCGAAAAGGCCGGATCTTGACCTGTTCAAAGCCCGTAATAGGCCCAGCCGTCCAGCCGGTCTTCCCCTAACATAGCCATCGGCTTTCTCGGGCGCTCTGTGGCGCCGGTGGGTAGGAATGGAGCAACCTCACAACGCAATTCCCTGTCTAGTCATAGTTCATCCTCTTGGTCCATTTCTGACGGTTTCAGAAGGCCCCCAACTTTCATTGCACGATCCCGTTCTGCAGCCTTGGCATCTCGCAGTGCCTGCTCTCTCTCTTCTGCGTAGAGCTCTGCATTATCCCCAGCGAATTCCTTCAGCGAGATCAAAAAGTCCCGCAAATGAGTCTTGAATTTATTGAAATCATCATTAAATGCAAACAGCCCAATGACAAATTGCTTGATCTGAATTCTGTGGCAAAGTCAGCACATTTAAGCTTAATTTGCAAAGCCAGTGACATAGAACATACTCCTGTAGGTTCTTGAAGGCGTTTTGCAGAAGGTTCGCAACATATTCCTGGAGGAAATCCTTATTCGAAGTCCCTAGTGGTGCTTGTTCCGGGGAGTAAATAGGATCTTGCACCTTTCCAGCTTCAACGAAGTAGAACATACGTGACAAGAGCATCGCCTGAGACTTGAATCCTGTAACGTAGTTAGTAACACCTCACCTCTAGGTTCAGATTGTTGTAGATACATACCGGCTTTATGGTCGCTATCGGTGAGCACGAAAAAAACATCTTGCAGGATGGGAATGTAGAATTGGCGGAAGAAGATATTCGAAGTTTGAGTGTCTGTCTCAACCATATTGTTCATAAGCTCAAGGCACATCGTGAGACCAGTGTTCTCGACCTCGCGATTGTCGTGTTTGCTGGCCCACATGCAAGAGTCGATTACGAATTTGAATTGGGTAGCATCAAGTTTGAGCAGGGCTGGGAAGCAATATAGATTGATCGCTTGGAGCAGCTTGAAAAATTGGACTCGGTGCTCCGGGTATTCGTGAAAGTCTTTGTTGATCATTTCTAGAGTGCATTCGAACACACTCTCCATAATAAGCGGAACCTTGTCTTCCATCAAATTCTGGAAGTATGTCAGTTTGTTGCTGCACCCAAGTTACCCATAAGGGTCTAGAAAGCACGCCAGAGCCAAACATACATGTAGCTTATGGATGATAGTTGTCATGACATTCAGAACCTCTGCTTCGCGTGCATCAGGAACGTTACGATTATAGTCCACCAAGACGGCGTCGAGCAGAGGCGGGACCATATTCGCATTGACCATTTCTAAATCGTCCGCTTTCTGGACATAAGTGTCAATGAGTTTGAGAATTTCCTTTTTGATGGTTCTAAGGCCTCGGACTTTCGGCGTTTTTGTCGCAATTTCTCCTGTTAGACAAACAATTAGCGATGCTTCCGATAATAAAATGAGAGCAGTGTTATGCTTATTACCATCAAGCCCAACAGCATCACTAATAAGCTGGCTAGAAGCTCGAAACATGTTTAGCATGTCATGGTAAATGCGTCCTAGTTGGGAGAAAAAGTAGGTGCCGATTGACGAACAAGCAGCGACGTTCGTTTTCATGATATTGCCAACGATCTTGATCGTCTCTCCATCTTGGAGGATCGACGGGTCTTGGTTTGCCTGGGCTATAATAGCGTCCCAGGCAGAATTGGGCAATGACATCAAATTTTCAATCAACCGGTCTTGGAGGCCCTTTTGACCCTGTGCCGAGATCATATAACCACATGCTTCGTAGAAAGTATGGACCTGCTGTGGCGAAAGGTCACAAGTGATTTTCCTCATGCTTCGAACAATTTCCTCAATGAACGGCTCGTTTTCCCCAGGCTGAAGGGCAACAAAATGACGCCTGCATTTATTGGCGATCTTTATGAAGGTGTCGCAAGCCATGTCCTGAACACCTATTGGAAGTTAGAATACCGGCTCCTAGTAAAGTGATTGAATAGCCGACCTTCATGTGTCTCATGCATAAACTCGAAAAGTTTGTTGACAACTGTCTTCAAAAACTTCCAGTGAGCCTTCAAAAAGCGTGGATACTGTCCCACAATGTACATGATGTTACTGGCCACAACAGCTTTGTTATCTTTTCCACGCTTCATTTCTGTGAGACCCAATAGGTCCTTGATAACAGTAACGAGAAAGCGCTTCTCAGTTTCTTCGTTCATGGCTCCGGAGATTGACCCAATAGCCCAGCAAAGGGTATTACAGTTGGCCCATGACCATTCAGACCCATCGACTTGTTTAGCCAATTTCTCGATCATGATATTCTCCGTATCAACAACGTCGAGATGTGTAAGGTAGACTAAACACTCCCGGATTGTCTTGTAGAGCTGGATCGTATCACTCTCTTTGACGAACTCGCGGACGATTTCACCTTCATCGTTCTCGACGATCAGGACCTCCTCTGGACGTACCATTTTCTCTATCATGACTGTACGCAGGCTCGATAAAACTTCTTCATACTTGTGTTTGCGGAGTGGGTAATTGGCCAAGGTGCTCGGATGCGGCGCTCCGCCGTTTGATAAGCCGCTGACACCCATGCTCACCAAAGGATTGATATCGGTGATTGGGAGTTGCTGCATCTCTTCATAAAGCTCTTGCACGAGTCGCGTCCAGTACTCTAGGCAGATCTTGAAAACTTCTCTGTCGTCAATTTGACTAATGCGGATAAGGTAAAAGTGCGCATGAGTGAGATAGTCACGATTTGGTAATTTTTCAATAAGCTAATTAATTCGGTGGGGGACAAGAAATATCAGCGGCTCTGTCAGCGTTTGGGAGCGGGGAATTTCTGAAACTTACATTGAGATGAGCGCTGAAGAAACTGGAAAGAAAAAGAGCGAGGTTGAGTACAAACTCTTGATCTCGCGAGTTGCTCTTGGCATATGTCTGTTTCAAGTCCATTGATAGTGGGATTATCTTGGAAACTATCGTCAATGTCTCTGTAAACATATGTACCAGCCTCTCATCGTAATTATACGGGTTACCGATCTGCAACCCGCCAATTTCCGTCAGACATTTGAGGGTCACATTGCGAAATTCGGGAACGTCCAAAAATCGTGTCAGAAGGGTACTTATGATAGGTGTTTCAAAGATATATCCCAGAGGAATCCAATTCAAAAAGCGCAGAAGGGTCTCCAGGGTAGCTTTAATCAAGCTTGGTTGGTTTGCAGTATTGAGCACTTCGGAGCACAATTGGAAGATCGACGAGAATTCCTGTGTCATAGAAGTCTTCAAATTCCTCGCTTTTACGGATGTCATCTGGTCTTGAGAGAAGTCGAAGACTTCCTCTGATAGCAGGCGAAGGATTGCCATGTTGTTCTCACAAATAGAAAGGCTTGTGTGGCAGGACGAGATAATTTCGTTGATAAAAGTCGGCCAATTGTGAGGCCATTCCTGCTTCAAGATCGAAACGAGAACCAGATTTAGTTTGTTCAAGAACGCTCGCTCACTCCTCAACTTTTCTTCCGAGCTAGAGTTTTCAATGATAAAGTTAACGATAAAATTTCGGATACCTGCATTCGTCAGACAAACCCAGGCAGACCCGGATATGAAGTCCAATCAAAGGATTACCTAGACATTGTTCCCTCGGTAAAACCTTCCATCGAGTCATGATTACATCGTCGAGAACTTGGAGGGCAAGATCTAACACCATCAGCACAATCCCAATCAACATACTCGAGGGTCGATATCGCACATTTGGTCTGTGGATACGATGACTCCTGGAGAATATTCCCTACAATTAACCAGGCATCCGGATTTTGCTTAAACTAGCAATCCGAGATAGGTCAGATATTCCTTTTCCTGCAGTGTATATCAACGACTCCTTTTAGACTCACTTCTGTCAATGTCTGCTGGGCTTGCTTTTGCTGTAGTTTGCAATTATATCATCAGTGTTCTGCATCGTTGCACAGGGATCATAAGACAGATTAATAGAGGAAAATATATGGAGCTACTGAAAGGGAAACGCAGGACTTCTTCGGGACGACATACCAGGTCTCCTTTGCCTTCGTAGAAGGCTTGGACTGTGTTGTCCAACTCTTGTATGGACACCGACATTCCGTTCACGAAGCTGGCGATACGGCCCTTTGCACAGCTTGTCGACGCGTCCCAGGCACAGGCGCAGGTAAAGAGGAACTCAAGTTAACTCAATATAGAATTTGCAGGTACTATGACAAGTACAGGGTAAAGCAAATGGGTGGAATGCTTGGCGGGGTCAAGGCTCTCTCTTGGAGGGGTTGGCCGGAAGTAAGCTCCTCAGAGCAAATTACTACTGTTTTGATGAGAGACAAGATGCCCAGAGGTGAAGTGGGGCTGTATGGCCCAGCTTGAGATGCAGGCGCGGGTTTGGGATATGGATAACCCAAGAAGGGGTAAACAAAAAAAAAATCCGTGTAGACTCAACTCACTGGCGGTGTGAACGGTTGTTGCTCAAGTTATTGGAACTCTATCGGGTACGATGTAACTAAACTCGTTAGCAACTAATTACGTCCAAATAGGATTAGTCAGCCTCCCTTTTGGAAATGGCTGAGGATATGGGGCCCATGAAAATTAAAATTGATTTACAAAGGAGCTTCGAAGTGCTCTACGGGTCTATCTCGGAGTTCGACCCGGGCTATCTAGGTTACAGCACTATCCATAACCTATATAGAATCAAGAAAACTAGTCTACGGTTAAGAATAGGTACCTCTTACCATGTGCTCCTCAGAAAGCCGCGCCTTCATGTCAGCATCGTACAAGCAGTTTCGCTGTCCATAGTTAAGGAGGTTTAACAAATGATTACCGCTGACCCTCAGGATCTTGGATTTGTATAGAAAGGTAAACATAGCTAAGTAAAACAAATGAAAACACGATACAGTTTACCATCAGATTAATCCTACAAGTACTGACTATACAAGAAAAAGCTGAATCTCAAAAGATATTCTGGAAATGTTAAGAATGGAAAGGCGATAGATAATTACGGGAGCACTGATAAGGTAGTTCACAAAACATATTGCAATCTCTTGACATTCTCCCTACATATATCCTGTATTCTCCGTATATATATATATATATATATATGTATATTTCTTGCAGGTGGAGATAATTGCTAATCAGGTACTACGTATGTATACTGCTGGTATGTGCTCATAAACAGTTCTATCCAGATCGAATTGGTGGTGTGGTATAGTCATTGGTAACCGCGCCTGCAGTGCTGTCTGGCGCCAATAGCGAATATCATGGGGAAGAAGGGCCTCTTAAGCGACCAAAATCAAGTGGGAAATACCTCCCCCCACGGAATGTACTATTCAAACCACATTGGAAGTCGGTTGGACCCACTAAACTCTACTCCGTACATAGTACATATCCCCCCTGCGGCTGCCGTGCCGCGCTTCCCTCGCGGATAAAGCGGCAGCAAGCCATTACAATCCAAGTGTGTCCCAGGGGCCAGCCCGGGCCAGCCCTCCAGGAGAATCTGTTGGTGGCGTGTCGCCTGAGCACCATCACTCGCAAGCATGAGACCCATGTTAGACTAACCAAACGCTGCTATAGCCAATCATTTTCCTTGCGCAGCCATCGCGGGATGGTCGATCGCGCGGTAACTTCAATCCAGTCACTAACCTCTCATCAGCCAGCTGGCAGCCGCATTGCTATGAAGCAAGTACGGAGTAGGAACATGAGCCAATACTGTATTTTGGAATCCCCTGGTTAGCTTCTTCTTCACCTCAACATCCCCTACCTGTGCTAGCTTTTGGTTCACATTTGAGGTTAATACCTTTCCATTTACTTTTTCCCTTTTATGTCTAAACACACCCCTCCCCCTCTTATATATATATATAAAAGAAAGGAAAGGAAAGGAAAGGAAAGGGGGAAGAAAAGGGAAAAAAAAAATACTACTCGCTGCATTCAGCCATTGTCAGCTATCGCTTACCCTTTCTTCTACCTAGTAGGTTCCCTCCACTAAGTTACCAATACGGGTCATTAATAACCCCCTCTCTTTCTTGCTTTTGCCTCTTCCCCTCTCTCAGTAAATCCCAGAGTACTCACCACTACCTGCGTCCGTGAATATTTACTTTCTTCTCCCCTGTTTCACCTTCCTTTTATTTATTTATCTTTTTTTTTTTTTTTTTAAAAAAAAAAATAGTGGTGGGGGTAGATGCATTATTCTATCCAGGCTTATTCTTACACCAGCAATCAATCACCACAGCCGCCACATTTCCCTCCTCTACCGTCTTCTTGTACTGTCGTTACTACCGCCTCATCCTCTCGTCCTATTGACTGTATATGCTCATCGTTGTAAATTCTTGTATCCCATAAATTATCGTCATTGAACTCTTTCCCCGTCAACCCAACCTATCCACTCCAGAAGCAAGCGTTATCATTCGTACCGATATCTCACTTTGCGCGTTTTTCCTCTTTACGCTGAGGTTGATCCCCTACCTGGTGCCTTCTATATCCCGTTCCGATTTGCTGATTGCTATCTCCTCCTTGAACGATACCCACGAAACAGCCCTTCTCAGCTTATCTTGAACCTCACCTGGTGCATGGCCTCGGGATAGCCGTACAGGACAATCAATACATTGAGTCTAAAAGAATTCTTGCCGTTAATTTGGTCCTTTATATCTCTTATCTTCAATTGCGTCCGAAGAGTGAACCTGCACGCAGGGTTGCCTCTCCATCCTCGATTGATGCAACTGCTTCCAGTTCTAGTTCTAGTTGACGGCGCGCAAGGTGGAATAGTACTCCTTTGGCGAAGATATAATTGACCGCATTCCTCCTGTGTGACACTAGTTGAAAATACCGCTGCGTTCACAAGGAACTTGCGTGAGAACAATAGAGATAACTTTCCACTGCGCGCTGAAAACTAGGTGGTGGAACTTGAAGGCTTTATACCAAGGGGTCTCACCTATCAGTTGTAGCTGGACTACTACTTTACTACTACTACTACTACTACTACTACTACTACTACTACTACTACTACTACTACTATTACTACTACTATTACTACTACTACTAGTACTACTACTACTAGTACTACTACTACTTCTTCAGTTATTTGCAACATGACTGCCGTCACCTCCGCCTCAATAATTAACGACCACGAATCAGAGGGTTCCAGAACAGACCACAGTCCCTCTCGATTTACAGCAGTGAACGGGAAGGACTCCTTGATATCTGCGACACCGACGTCTGTTCCTGCTGTCCCTAGCTCAGCAACGGACGAAGACTCACGAGAACCCTCTGAGCACTGTGGAAGAAGCGGTTACGATGATACAACACATCGGCATGAGGAACGAATACGTGAGAATGGAAACCTCAAGAACGACCAAGAAGATCGACGGTCACAACGATCGTCCTCGCAATGTGCTGTGTCTGTTACTAGCAGAAGCAAACGAAAGAGGTCGGGATCTGGTGAACATGAAGACGATGCTCATTCCACTCACAGAGCCCCGAAAAGCCCAGCCTCTCACCTAAACGACACTACAAATCAAAATATGCACCCATGTACATCCAACGGAAGCACGACATCCCAGGCCGACCAGGATCTTAAGAACACGTCCCCCTTGGTGTACACAAGGCCAGAGGGGAGTGAGGATTCACGAACCTCAGCAAATACTACCTGGCATGAGTATGATGCCCAGTTGGTCAGCCAAGCACAGCGTGCGCAACAGATTGATGCATCAGATGCTCAATTGGCAGAGGCACTCCAACGTGAGGCTCAGGGGCATGATGTAACTCAGAAGAATTGGACTACGGTCAGTCGCTCAATAGAAGGTACCACACAGAATGAGCAGTCTTCATCATCGTTGGCTGGGTTTTCCCAGGAGCGGCCGCAAACTGCTGTACAAGTTGCGCCAAAGAGAAAGCGCGTTTTCAGCAACAGAACTAAAACTGGGTGTATGACATGCCGAAGGAGAAAGAAAAAATGTGACGAACAACACCCTGCATGTAAGTTCCTTGTTGAATAGTTCTCTTAAGTTGGGCAACGATTTTGTCAATTGCGGTAGCGCAGTAGTCTAACTTCAATGTAGGTAATAATTGCATCAGGGGTGGTTTTCTCTGCGAGGGCTATTCCTCACGGAGTACATGGCAGAAGCCGTCAAGTGGGAAAACGCCAGTTCCTTTACAATCAAAGGAAGGCTATGCAGATGTCGGCAGTCAATACGTGCATGACATCAACCAACAACATGATCGACAACAAAATTTGACCGAACAATTCGAGGGAGGGAAGATGCGGTCGATTATTGTAGACGATAACGACCGCACCACCACACAGTTCAACAACTCAAGCCCAACAGGCGTTGGTTCCGGCCGTGGGTCATGGTCCAAACGGTCCTGGCCGAATACAGGCCACACCACTTATATCACAGATCATATCGCAAAGCCAGATTACCGAGATGTACCGTCCATCCATGAGTTACCCCGCGAAAGTCACCCGAAAACAGATTATCAAATCGTGCCGCCGATTCGGGAGCTATCACATGGTACCGCCCATGGGAAACCAGGGGTCTCGCTTTTCCAAGGCGGAATTGACCAGCGACCAGGTCTTGCTACTAATGTGGACACTAGCAGTCCACAAGCCCAAGCGCGAATGGCCCTGAGCATTGAACATCAGTTATCTGCGCGCACCGTTCCCGGTGAAGAGACAGAAAAGGATAAAATGATACGTGGTGAACTTTATCGACCCTTCGATGTTCATCTTGTGGAAGAGAGAGAGCGCTGTAAAGCCGCGCTGTGGCGGTTCAACAATGCCTGCAATCCTGTTTCTGGACTAAGCAATAAAGAACAAAACCGCCTTCTTAAAGAAATATTAGTACCACCTACTTCGGCAGTGGGCTCACCCTCAGGTGTCACCTCCCCTCGCCCGACGGGTTCCATCGGGCAAGGTGCGGTTGTTGAAGCGCCCTTCCAGTGCCATTACGGATATAACATTCACATTGGCGAGGATGTGATGATATCTGAGAGCTGTTTATTTGTGGATGATTGTCCTATCACTATCGGTGCCCACACGTGGATTGGTTCCAGGGTGACTATTCTTAGTTCAATGGCCCACGCAAATATGCAGGAGCGTAAAGGGTCTCAAAGCCGTTATCAAGGACGACCCGTTACGATTGAAGAAGATTGTTACGTTGGTGCTGGCTGTACTATTTACCCTGGTGTTCGCCTTCGACGTGGAGCTTATGTGGCACCAGGTGAAGTTGTCAAATCCGACATCGTAGCTTATGGGTTTCAGGGCCTTAAACCCAGCTACATGTGAGAAAACCTTCATCGCACTGCATTTATATGAAGTCACTTGAATTTCGTGTTTGATGCTATTGTCTGGGGCTGTGATTTCCGCAGCTGCATGTTCTGATCATGCACTTAACACTCTCGTCGGCTTTTTGTAAACTATTCTTTCACATTCGTTTGCTTAGCCCATCTTCTCATTTCCCAGGCTTCTTCTTAGCGCCTGTCTTCTCGGGCCAGAATTCTGACCGGTTCAGGACATGTGGTTCATGCTACGAGATTTCATGTGACAATTCCGGTCACTTTCTTAGTATATATATAATTGATGATTCATCCTGCTACTTATCTACTCATCTCTCGCCCGCATGCTTTGGAGGAATTAGTATTCTTGTATCCATATAGAAGTGGGCACTTGACACCATCAGCTGATGTATCCTTGTGAGAAAAAAAAAATAAGCAATATATACACGTGGCATGGCATTACGTTAAATAAGCAATTTAGAGAATGCCAACGAGATACTAAGGACTTCTACTGCAATAGGTATGATTCAAACACCGCGTCACTGCTATCCAGCTGGCTATCCATCCTTTGGATGCTTTCATCATGCTTTATCCAACCAAGTCATGCCTAAAGCCAATCTAAAAAATCAGGCACGAAATAGCTTACTATAATTCCAGCACCAGCCCTTATAATCCCTTCAGTACTTTCAAAGGCCATTGATTTCAAGTCAAACACGCCCGCCTTGGCGCCAGCATGTATCATAGCATACTCACCGCTGACTTGGTAAGCAGCAATCGGAATGTCTTTGGCGAGTTCTTTTGCGTCTCTGATAATGTCCAGGTAGCTACTCGCCGGCTTTACCATGATGATGTCTGCCCCTTCGCCTATGTCCCTCTGTATAGCGCGCCGAGCGAGTCCACGGCCTCCCGGTGGTAACTGGTAGCATCTGCGATCCCCAAATGATGGGCAGGACCCCGCTGCATCACGGAAAGGGCCGTACAGACAACCACTAAATTTGGCGCTGTAGGACATCAAAAGGACACGGTGGGCCATCCCGGCCTCAATAAGCTTCAGTTTGATAGCACGCACTCGCCCATCATTCATATCAGACGGAGCGACACAATGAGCTCCGGCAGCGGCATAAGCCAGAGCAACATCCGAGATCCGATCCACGGACTGCGTGTTGTCAAGAGTCCCATCTTCTCGCAGTATCCCACAATGGCCATGAGAAGTATACTCGCAAAGGCAAACATCTGTCACAATATAAAGTTGAGGAAACCGCGACCTAAGCAGGCGAATAGCTTGAATTACCGGTCCAGATGGGTCGTCTGCAGCGGTACCTAGTGCATCCTTCGCAGAGGGGTGTAGTGGGACGCCAAACAGAATGACTGACCGTAGCCCTTTATGGACAAGTGGCTTGATGAAAGGAACTAGACGATTTATTCCTCGACGATACTGGCCAGGGAGAGACGGAATGGGAGTCTCCTCGTCGGGATTATCGGTGATGAAGAGAGGATAAATAAGCATTTCCTATCTCGGGTTTAGAGAAGCTCAGTAAATATGGAAGAAAATGCGGACCTTGGTCAACTGTCTTTCAGCCTGCCATGATCTACTCAATGGATGGCTGTAGCCGGAATGCAGCTGACTGGAGATGTCACCAGATATGCTGACGCTTGTCGCAGCTGTGCTTGTATACGATCGTGCGGTGGCTTGCGATCGTACATGGGATATCTGAGAACTTCGGTCATCGTGAGTATCTCTGAATGCGAGATCAGAGACGAGGTTAGAGAAGGACATGATGTCAGGAGCGGCAGGCAATATGGGTGCTAGGGAAGATAGTGACGCGGTGGAGGGAAGGAAAAGGGAATAGCGTTTGTGCTTGTCCTACGCCACTGGCAGAATACGACTTCACAGGACAATGATATATGGTCAGCGATCCAGGTCAATGCACTTGTTGTAATGTTCGGGTCCAATGAATAAATGATTATAGGACAACGTTAGGGGCGTTATATGTAGCGACGGTATGCAGTATTGGGGCGCTTTTCGAGGGTCAGGGGATATGAGATATGTATGAACGGAGACTGGCTGGTGGCTGAGAAATGTTCAGGCCATGAGTTAATAGCCGAGGATACCATAATCTGCCTGGGGCTAGACTTGTAGGGAGATTACGGAGGGTTACCATTGGTCCGGGGTTGGTGCCGTTCTCCGTAACCTACATTAATTCATTTGTGTATACTCCGCAGTTTTTGGTCAAATATACTCACCGATTTGTTGACCGCCCTTGTCTACTTAGTCAGTATTTGGAGGTCTAACGTAATCGGTAAGCACCCTGCGCACCACCCGTTTTTTCAATGTGCCTCAATTTCTTAGGTGATTTAAATATTAACTACAGCACTAAAAATGCCTAAATTATTAAAATTATGCGTTAAGTAGGAAGACTGAATACTATTAGCTATCAAAGAAATGAAATTTAATAGTCTTAGAAAGATAGCTATGATTCTAAATATATCTTATTCTAAATCTACTTTATATGATTATCTTAAAGGAGCTTCTTTTATAAGTAATATATATATTTGTCAGAGTAAAATTTCCTTATTAGGTAATACTAAATAAAATTGAAAGAATATTTCCTAAGTAGGAAATATTCTAGAATTTTTCTATAGTATTATCTATTTTAGACTAGATTAGAATCTTATTTTAATTAAGATCTAGAAGAGATCTATAATTTATAATTTTAAATAATTTCTAATAATTAATTATAAATTATTAAAATTAAGAATTAGTTAGAATTAGTTAGTATTAATTATAATAATAAATTTATTAATTTTATATCAATTTAAAATTATTTACTAACTAAAAATAAGATCTAAACATATCTACCATATAATTTTTTTTAATTTAAACAGATTATTAACTAACTATTTAATTATTAGATAGTTAGATTTTCTATTTATTTTTTTATTTTTTTATTTTTTTTAAGTCTATTCTATCTTATTTAGTTATTTAATCTATATTATTATTCTATTTTTATATTCTCTTAAGTTAGTTCTAAAATTATTTTACTTTAGAATTAAGACAGCTAATAGTTATAAGTCTAGATTAGTTTTACTAATTCTATTTTATTTATATTAATTAATTATTTCTATATATAGATAAATATATATAGAATCTATAAATTATTATATTAACTAAATTAAAAATATTTATTTAGTTTAATTAGTCTAGTAATTAATTTTACTAGAACTATTATATTAGACTAATAGCCAAAGTCAAAGAGATCTGAGACTATATAGATTCTATCTTATCTAGAATATCTATTCTATCTTACTACTTTACTAGATCTAATCTTAGTAATATTTAATCTGGGACTAATATTCTAATTAATTTAAAATAAGAGCTCTATAGAGATTCTATTAAAAAATATAAAATTAGAATTAAGAAATATTAAATAATCTCTATTAAGATTTTAACTCTATTATTAGTTATTACCAATTTAATATTCTATAATAATAGATAGATAACTTTATTAACTAAATTATTCTATAAAATTTTAAAAAGTCTATCTACTAAATTAATTTCTATTAATAAATCTAGAATATAAAATCTAATTAAAAAAATATATTAAACTTAGAACTCTATTTAATTTAGATTCTATAGAATTTTATATTTTAGTATAGAAAAATCTATATACTAAAGTCCTAGAACTATATATTCCAGAGATTTAAAACTTTATTAAATCTCTATTTAATTTTCTAGAATTAATTTCTATTATTTTATCTATATTTTTAGTTCTATAGTAAGATAAATTACTAAAAAAAATCTAAAAATAATAAATCTATACTGTCTTTCTATAAGATAACTAAGTACTTTAGAGACTATATTTAACTAAATTAGTTAAATTAATCTAAAGATTTTAAATCTAAAATTACTATAGTAATTTTATAGAGTAAACCTAATTCCAGCTTTACTAATTTAATTAATTAAAATAACTATATAGAATAAGATTTTAGAAACTCTATTTAAAAATCTCTACTGTCTCTGCTTATCTGAACTGAATAGAGAATATTATTAATTTGATAAAATTTAGTAATTAATTATCTAATTTAGATACTCTAAATTAATTAAATTTAGCTTATTAGAATTCTAGATTTAAAAAGATCTATAATTTAGTTATTAAGGAATTTAAAAAAATTAATTTAGAGTAAAATAGTTTAATAGTTCTACCTATTTTAGTTAATTAAACTATTTTACTATCTAAATTTTTAAAACTAAATTATAAGAATTTATAAATCTATAATATAATTTTAAATATCTATATCTATAATAATTTTTAGAAATTTATAAATTTTAGACTAAAATTTACTAAAATTTATATAGAGAATATCTATACTGAAATTCTAAAATATAGAACTATCTATATAGAGTCTACTATTTTTCTAAAAAAGATAATTAATTTTAAATTTCTAAATTATATTTTTAAATTTAATTTCTATTTAAATATAATATTTATTGTAAAAAGTAGAAAAAGTAGTCTATTCTATAATACTAAAATTTTAAGAATTGAAATCTTAGATAGTAAATTAATATACTAAATTAATAATAGAGAAAATATATTATTAATTATTAGCTGCCCTAATCCTAAAACAGAATAGTCTTAGGGCTGGCCTGAGAGGATATAAATAGAATAGTAATATAGATTAAATAACTAGATAAGATAAGATAGATTTGAAGAGATTAAATAAATAATTAGGAAATCTGACTATCTAATAATTAGATAGTTAATAATCTGCTTGAATCGAAAAAGATTATTTAGTAGATACTTTTAGGCCTTATTTATAGATAATTTTAGGTCTTATAATTTATCTTTAGTCAGTAAATAATTTCAAATTAATATAGAATTAGTGAATTTATTATTATAACTAATACTGACTAATTCTAACTAATTCTTACTTTCTAATAATCTATAATAAATTATAAGAAATTATTTAAAGTTATAAATTATAGATTTCTTCTAAATCTTAATTAAAATAAGATTTTAATCGAGTCTAAAATAGGTAATACTATAGAAAAATTCTAGAATATTTTCTAAATAGGAAATTTTACTCCCCGGATTTAAATATCTAAAAATAGATATTAAATCTAAATAGATCTCAGTAAATAGATTATATCAAAAAATTAATAGAAAAGTTAACTTAAAATTAATAAAAAAATCGAAAAGAATTACTAAAGATAGTAAAAAAATTAAATAGATTAAAACAAAGTAAATTTAATTTAGGCCCTAGAAATTGATATTGAAAAATAGATAATAATAAGACTAATTTAATTTAATATCCTAGATTGAATTAGGTAAATCGGTTATACTAAACTAATCAGATATATCTATTATATTTAGATAGTTTAGAAAAATCTAATACTTTTAATTAAATAGACTTTTAGTTAGACTATTTATAGATATCTAATTAGTCGGTTTCTATATAATATTAATATGTTTTAGCTCTAATTTTCTGTCTAAGTCAATAATTTTAAATATTAATATATTTCAGTTTAGATCTATATATAAAATAATTATCTATAAATAACTAAATAGTCTACTTATTATTATATTCTATATAGAGTTTTTAATTAGGGTTAAAACTTAAAGTCCTAAATAGATATTTCTACTATAGAAATTATCTACTAGTACTAATTAGGACTAGTAATTTAGTTTTAATAATCAATAAAATAACTATTTTCTATTTTCTAGTTAACTAATCTATAAAATTATTATATATTTTATAGATATATCTTTTAGAGCTCTTTTTATCTAAATAATCTATAAAAGTAGTATTACTAGCTACAAAGAAAATAGAACTAGAGCTAGATACTCTAATTTAATTTAATTAATTAAAATTTATTGTTATGCCTAAAAGCACCGAGAGTATTGTAGAGGAAGTTGTCTTTATTGATAAGGGCTCTCAGCTACCGATAAGCGGTAGCCGTACCGCTTTATTCACCGCTTTCTGGTAGAATATATAGAAGTTATAACAATTCCCTAACTTTCTTAAGACTATATCTCTATAGCTTAATATAACAAGTCCCTAGAGTAATTTAGTAGACAATAAAATATATTTTAAATAAAGATAAATATATAAGAAATAAATATAAAGAAAATCTATTAGAAGATAATTTAAATAGGTTAAACAGTATATAATAAATAATAAAAAGTATATAGAAAAGTATAATATAGAAAAAATTTAATAAATTGTCGGAGTGAAATTTCCTATTTAGGAAATTTTCTAGATTTCTTCTAGAATATTTCCTTATTAGGTAATACTAAATAAAATTGAAAGAATATTTCCTATTTAGGAAATATTCTAGAAAGCTTCTATAGTATTGCCTATTTTAGACTAGATTAAAATCTTATTTTTAATCAGAGTTTAGAAGGAATCTATAATTTATAACTTTAAATAATTTCTAATAATTTATTATAAATTATTAGAAATTATTAATTAGTTATAATAACAAATTTACTAATTCTATATTGATTTGAAATTATTTACTAAAAGTAAGACTTAAAAATTATCTATAAATAAGGCCTAAAAGTATCTACTAAATAATCTTTTTGATTTAAGCAGATCATCAACCAACTATCTAATTATTAGATAGTCAGATTTCCTATTTATTCTTTTAATCTCTTCAAGTCTATTCTATTTTATCTAGTTATTTAATCTATATTATTATTCTATTTCTATATTCTCTAAAGCCAGCCCTAAGACTATTCTACTTTAGGATTAGGGTAGCTGATAGTTATAAGCCCAGTATAGCTCTATTAAACCTTAATTTAATAATTAATTTAATTATCTATATTAATTTTCTATATTGACTATCTATATCGATTAATTATTTCTATATATATCTATATATAGAAACAAAAATCTTATTATACTATCTAAATTAAAGATACCTATTTAGCTTAGTCAGCCTAGTGACTAACTTTAATAGAGCTATTATATCAGACTAGTAACTAAAGCCAAAGAGATCTGGGACTATATAGACCCTACCTTATCTAGGATATCTGCCCTATCTTACTGCTCTACTAGGCCTAGCCCTAGTAATATTCAATCTGGAGCTAATACCCTAATCGACTTAGAGCTATTAAATCGAGAGCTTTATAGAGATTCTATTAGAGATTATAAGACTAG